TTTCTTGCTGGAAAGATCTTTATATGTCTTTTAATTCTGAATGATAATTTTGCTAAATAGAGTAATCTTGGTTGTAGGTTCTTGTTTTTCATCAATTTGAATATTTCTTTTTGGGCGTTTTTTGTGGGGGGGGGTTGTTTATTGTTTTGTTGTTGTTGTTGTTATTGTTAATCCTCACCCAAGGATATTTTTCCATTGATTTTTAGGGAGAATGGAAGAGAGAGGGAAAGACAGAGAGAAACATCAATGTTAGAGAAACACATTGACCTGGTTCGAATCTGGAACCCTTTGGTCCGCACGCTGATGCTCTATGATGCTCTATCCACTGAGCCAAACTGGCTAGGGCTGAATATTTCTTGCCAATCCCTTACAACCTGCAGTTTTTTTTGAGAAATCAATTGATCTCCTTTGTAGATAACTACTTTTCTCTTGCTACTTTTAAGATTCTGTCTTTAACCTTTTGTATTTTAATTATGATGTGTATTGGTGTGGGCCTTTTTGGGTTCATCTTGTTTAGGACTCTCTGCACTTCCTGGTCTTGTATATGTATTTCCTTCACCAGGTTAGGGAAGTTTTCTGTCATTATTTTTTCAAATAGGTTTTCAATATCTCTTGTTGTCTTTGTTCCTGTGGCACCCCAATGATGTGAATACTGGTACATTTGAAGTTGTCCCAGAAGTTCCTTATAATGTCATTTTTTTGGATTATACTTTATTTTTGCTGTTCTAGTTGCATGCTTTTTGCTTCCTTATATTCCAAATCACTGATTTAATTCTTGACTTCATCTGCTCTACTGGAACTACTTGTAAATTACTCATTTCAGTTAATTTATCCTTCATTTCTGACTGGTACTTTTTTAAAATATATTTTTTATTGACTTCAGAGAGGAAAAGAGAGGAAGACAGAGATAGAAACATCAATGATGAGAGAAAATCATTGATCAGCTGCCACCTGCATGTCCCACACTGGGGATCAAGCTCACAACCCCAGCATGTGCCCTGACTGGGAATCGAACCATGACCTCCTGGTTCATAGGTGACACTCAACCACTGAGCCATGCCAGCCAGGCTCTGACTGGTTCTTTTTAATGGTTTCCATGCCCTTTTTCAATGCTGTTGTAGTGCTAAGTTCATGGAACATTGTTATAACCAGTATTTTGAACTCTGCACCTAATAGATTGCTTGTCTCCATTTTGTTTATTTTTCTGGAGTTTTGTTCTTTTCTCTCATTTGAAACACATTCGTCTTCTGATATTGGCAGCTTCTTTGTATTTCTATGAATTAGGTAGAGCTGTTTCATAGAAAAGCCTTATGTGCTAGATGGCACAATCTCCCCGATCGGATCACCCAAGCTGGGCACCCCAGGTGCACCCCCATGTGGACTGTGTACACCTTCCTGTTGTAGTTGAGCCTTCATTGCTGTTGGCACATCAATGGGAGGGACCCTGCAGCCCAATCGTCAGCAAGGACTGACTGCAACTACCAACCACCATGGAGGATCAGCTATGCTGGGACCCGCCCCACAGAGCAGGACTGACTTCAGTGGGGGTTCTAGTTCCCACTGAGTCTGCCTTTTTTTTTTTTTTTTTTTAATATATTTTTATTGACTTAAGAGGGAGGGAGAGAAACATCAATGGTGAGAATCATTGACCAGCTGCCTCCTGCATGCTCCCTATATTGAACCCGCATGTGCCTTTGACCAGAATCGAACCCAGGACCCTTCAGGCCAACGCTCTATCCACTGAATCAAAACAAATAGGCCTGAATCTGCCTCTAGAGTGTGTTGCGTGGTGTTTTATCATGGTCTGATGCTGTCCATTGAATGTGCTAAGTCTGGGGTCTTCAGAGAGTTGCAGGCCAAGGTCACTTGTCTGCCACCTGTTTCTTGCCAGGGCCCACCTGGCATGAGTTGCAAAACAGTCTGTAAATGGCTATTTGTGTTGGTCTTAGAGGTGCCCAGGTGAGACCAACCTGCAAACCAGGGCTGTCTAATACTAGTGCCGGGCTTGGGGCCACTTAGAGAGAGGTATAGGGCACACTGAGGACAAATAACTGCTCATTTGAGATTTTTTAGCAAAGTTTGAAACATGAGCTAAGACAGTGGTCAGCAAACTGTGTCTCTCGAGCCACATGCAGCTCTTTGGTCCCTTGAGTGTGGCTCTTCCACAAAATACCACGTGTGGGTGCGCACACACAGTTCGGAAACTTCATGGCCCAAGCGCAGAAGTCTGTTTTCAGCTCTCAAAAGAAATTTCAATTGTACTGTTGATATTTGGCTCTGTTGACTAATGAGTTTGCTGATCACTGAGCTAATACATGCCATTCATAGGGAAAAGACCCTGGAAGATACCGAAACCAGTGTGGCTCAATGGATAAAATGTCGGTCTGCGGACTCAAGGGTCCTGGATTCGATTCTGGTCAAGGGCATGTACCTTGGTTGCAGGCGCATCCCCAGTAGGGGTGTGCAAGAGGCAGCTGATCGATGATTCTCATCGATGTTTCTCTCTATCCCTCTCTCTTCTTCTCTATAAAAAAAAAAAAAAAAAAAAAAAAAGACCCTGGAAGCAGCTTTGGTGGCCTTGTAGTTGGGTAGGGCAGGTCTTGGGGAATCACTAGGGCAAGGCAGTGTGAACCAGGTTGACGGAGACTCGGATTTAGTCCCGTCTGCTGACTTGGTTGGGGGAGTGCTCGGAAAAGGAACAATGGCCTCTGCCAGCACTTTCATCTGAAAGTTGCCTCCCCGCTCTCAACTTGATCCCAACAATTCATTTCCTCTCCTTTTGTCCCTGGCATCTTTCAAGCTGCTGTGATAGTACTGGAGTTCCGAGGAAGGGAGTCAGAGTAAATCCATTGGGAGGCCCATTAAGAACAACTGCTTGCCCTACCCTGTTCATTCAATGGTTTGAGTGTTGGCTGGTGGACTATATGGTGGCAGGTTTGATTCTGGTCAAGGGCATATACCTTGGTTGTAGGCTCCATCTCTGGGCCTCATTGGGGCACATGGGGAAAGCAACCAATATCTGTCTGTCTCTCACATTGATGTTTCTCTCTACTCCTTCCCTCCACTCTCTAAAAATCAGTGGAAAAGCCGAGACCGGTTTGGCTCAATGGATAGGGCGTCGGCTTGGGACCTGAAGGGTCCCGGGTTCGATTCCAGTCAAGGGCATATACCTTGGTTGCGGGCATATCCCCAGTAGGGGGTGTGCAAGAGGCAGTTGATCGATGACTCTCATCGTTGTTTCTAACACTCACTCTCTCCCTTCTTCTCTGTACAAAATCAATAAAATATATTTTTAAAATAAATAAAAATCAGTGGAAAAAATATCAAGTAAGGATTAAAAAAAAGAGGAACTGCTCTTTATTTTTTAGTTGTAAGACTTTCATTTAGCTAGTTTTCAGATGGTTCTGTAGTTTCGTTGTAATTTTGATGTCATTGGTTTCAAGTTTTATATAAGCAGTTCTATCTTTTCCTTAAATCCCCTTAGACTTCATTTGCTCCCAACTCCCATTTCTATGCTTGAGTGAATAAATATTTGTATTGGTAGTAAAAGTTCAAAAAACCCAAAATACAGATCTTTATCCAATGTAGCTTCCCACTGATTCCTTCTGCTCTTAAGAGCTTTTCCAATCCTTAGGAGACTGAATATCCCAGAATGCAAATGAAGTATTTTACTCAATTTTCCAGATTAGGTACCTCCTAATTCTGGGAGGGTAGTTGTAGCCCCATTATACATATGGAGAAGTTGTCTCAGATATTAAATAACAGATACATAATAGATAACATTCCTGTTTTCTACTGTTTAAAATGTTACTTTATATACTTTTGCCAATATCATACTTTTAGGATCATACTGAATAGTTGGCAGCTCTTTTGTTAAAAGTGGAGTGTTTAGTTAAATTTTATTAAGCTTAGATAAACCTTAATTTTGGGAGTTAGACTCCTTTGAGAATTTGATGTCAATTTGCAATCAATTTCAAGGGGTTCATGGATAGTCCCATACTGATAATTTGCTGAATGTCTTAAAAGTAGAATTGAACATGATTATGTCTAAACTATTTTTGCTTTATTTATAGGATTATAAACTGTACCTCATCTATTAATTTCCCATGCCTGGAGAAGCTAATGTCAACTCATCATGTGATACTCAATTTGTACAATAAATTATGAACCTGGAAAAGCTGGTTGTCTTTATTTACAAGATATCAAAAATATAAAAACTGTACAAAATGCAAAAAAGGCAAAATCTGGCAGTGACTTGGTCTGAATTTGTTTTCCAAAGCAAGGCTCAGTACTGGAGGTAAGCAACTGAAATGTCTGTCTGACTTCAAGTGTACAAGGTTGTGTATAGCCATTTTAGCTGAAGTAGAACATGGAAGCTAAATTTCTCCACCTAATTTCTAGAGTGGATACACTCAGCATCTAACAGGTGTAAATTCAGATGTCAGTGAGTAGCTGTACTTCATCTTAGAAATGAATTGTATAGTTCACCCTACCCAGTTACATACATTCCACTAGTCATAGGCTACGCAAAAAAAAAAAAAAAAAGTTAGATCATTTAACATAGTTCTTGAGTGCCATACAGTAACTACATTTTTACAGCAGAAACAACATGCTCATAGGATTCTTCAGCTAAAATTCAAGATGGTATTATATTACTCAATTTGAATCTTGAAGCAGGATGAATTGTTGAAATCAATTGGGAGTTTTTCTAAACATAATAAATTAAGATAGCGTTTGAACAGAAAATGCATAGTTTCCACACATTCCAAAGCACCATAAATGTCCCCTCCACACACATAATACCTCTTATTCAACTAACGGAAATTAGTTAAATGCAGTTGCTATAGAAACGTGGAACTCTTCTGTTCAGATTTTCCAAGCAGCATACTTCCAGATCCATATAGACAAAACATTCTTTGTAGCTTAAATATTAATCACTGAGGTATTTGCTTTTAGTCTCCCTTTTTCAAACAGTAGCTTCCAAAGGTCTTTAATACCAACTATTGCGGACTATAAGCTCCTGCAGCTAGAACCAAGTTCCTTCGAGTAAAATGGAGATGTACAACTGGTGTTGATTTGGTCATATATGTTCCCAACAGTAATTCCTGTGAATTCTCAGGTAAAGTTATATGCCCAGTGGCTGTAGTAAAGTCATCAGTCTCTAAATCTTCAAATGCTTTGACAGCATCCCATAACCGGACTGTATTATCCATTGAACCTAAGGAAAAGTCAAAGGGAATCATTTAGTGACATCTACCATATTTAGCTTCGGACATTTTGCCAAGTACACTTTATGTATTTACTGTATATTTCTGGTGGAAAATCTAAACCTGATTAACAACTCTATTCCTTCTAAAAGAGTATTTCAAGCAGTAGTTTAATGTGAGAGGTCAATATACATATAGAGCAATACTCTGGAATCATGGCTAAGGAGAAGCAAAGCCTAAAACAGCAGGACTTAATTTTGCAATAGTCAACACATTATTTTCTGTTTACACTCCATTTACCCTTTACCACAAAGCCATGTCTAGTCATTTACCTGATGCCAAAATTTCACCATCTCTACTAAACCTAAGAGAACAGACTGTATCGGTGTGGCCTTTTAATTCTCCAACCATCAAACCATGTCCAATATCCCAAAGGAGTACTCTGCCATCTGTTGCTCCTGTAGCCAGGAATCTCCCATTGGGAGAAAATGTCAAGGAATGAATTGGTCCCTAGAAAAGAAGTTCATGGGAAGAATCAAAATAAGAATTTCTAGTGTAGTGATATGAGTAGTATCTTTAGAATATATGTGTCACTGGTTTTTTAAGTATTTTTCTCAAAAGCAACCTTGTGTGCTGGAATAATGAGATAAAAATACCTTGTGTCCAGTGAAGATCCTTACACAGTTTCCATTCAAAACATCCCAGAGCCGCACAGTTCTGTCTGCAGAGCCCGTAGCAACATAATTAGAATTTGGGTGGAATCTGGTACAATTTACATCAGCAAGATGGCCAGCAAATATCCTTAAAGGCTGATAGTGGTCTGTGGCCCAGAGCCTTTTTAAAAATTTATTAAAAGCAAAAGATGATAATTAGTAGTTAACTACAAAATGCCACAATTATCCAAAGTAAATACCTATGTGAAATGTTAGTTCCAAATGAGTCCCTCTCACCTGAAGGAAAGAAGGAATGATTTGAAACTAAATAGCATTCGTAAGAAACATGACGTTAACCTGGTACAAACATAATTCTTGAGCTCTCTTCCTGCTCCCTCTCCACCCTTCTATCCCATCAACCCTAGTCTAATCTATAGGAAAGTTTTAGCCACCACATAGTTTCTAACCTAAGCTACTTCATCCTGAATTTTTCAGATGGCAGGGAAATGGGTGCTATAGTAGCAGTGAAAGACAAGGTTTAACAGTTAATTTAAAAAAGAGAGAAAATGAAAAAGTATATTTAAAAAAAAAAAAAGTTGTAAACAGCTGATGAGAGGCAGGGAAAGTGTGTAAATAAGCTAACTTAAGAAAAAGGACTTAAAACTCTTCATATAGATATAATTATAGACATAGTAATACTCTTCCCAAAATTCATTTTCAAGTAAGGAGCTATAAATGCTGACATTCTCAAAAAGTTGATCCTGGCCCACTGGCGTGGTGTGGTGGTTGAGCATCAACATAGGAACCAGGAGGTCAGAGTTTGATTCCCGGTCAGGGCACATGCCCGGGTTGCGGGCTGGATCCCGGGTGGGGTGTGCAGGAGGCAGCTGATCCATGATTCTCATCCTTGATGTTTCTCTCTCTCCCTCTCCTTTCCTCTCTGAAATTAAAAAAAAAAAAAAAAAAAAAAAGTTGATCCTAAATAATAGAAGTGAAAGTGAGTTTGGCTGGAGTTTTTAATTCCCAACAAGAAACCATTCTGTTCTTGAATAAACCCAGTTAGAAGAACAAAATGTACTTACCGAGCTACTCGGTCATGGCCCCCTGATACAAAATAATATCCATATGGAGAAAACTGTGTGTCCCAAACTGGATAGTTGTGTCCTTTATATCCCACTAAGCAAGTAAATGTTTGAAGACTCCACAATCTAACAGTTCCATCTTCTGAAGAGGAAAGCAGGTAGTTCCTGAGAGAAGAGAATATATTTGATTCCCAGAAAAACTTTTAGTTACCTGCCCAGTTTCTGTACATTTTAATATCTGTATCTATATTTATATATATATAAGGCTAATATGCAAAGTGTCCCCACAGGAGTTCAACTGGAAGTTCTATTGCTCTCTATGATGTGTGCTGACCACCAGAGAATAGTGTTGATCACCAGAGGGTGGTGCAAAACAAAGGAAGGCCCCGGCCAGCAGCCAGGGAAGGAAGGCCCTAGATGGCAGCCAGAAGGCCCCAATCGGCCCTGATCATCGCCCTGATCATCCATCAGCCAGGCCTAGGGACCCAATCTGTGCATGACTTTCATGCAATGGGCCTCTATTATTAAATATGCTGACATATTGCATCTTCTGATTTATACACAGTAGATCTAAGTAGAAAGTACTAAACAAACTAATGTTAGCTGTGATATTCTACATCTGAGCACCTACGGAATGAGATTTAAAAAAAAAAAAACTCAGTTTTTTATTTTAAAATGTAAATGCTATTTTCCTATCCTGTATGAGTTTTAAAAGAATTTAAAAGGAATATTCTTTTTGACATACACAAAGGCAAATACAAAAACACTGTAGGCATGTGAGTAATCTACCTTTTTTAGGGATAAATACAAAAGCTGAACTATTCCAAGTATAATAGTTTTCGTTGAAATCAAGTTTCCCTCAAGTAAGAATGTATCACCCTGCTAAACCTTATCAAACAACAAAAACTTCATTCTCAAAGGCTTATAAAGATGAAAATCTTGATGGATTAAAAGCTAATATCTATCCAAGTAAGATACAGATGGTATGAATACAATATACCCTTCCTTCCCCCATTTCTACGGAATGTCAGATCATGAAAAATAAGCAAATACCGATTTATGGGTTACAAATTTTCTTTTCAGTATTCCCTCCGTCTTTTTGATTGTATAAAGATATAAATCTTCAATTAATAGCTAATAAGCCTTTAATCTCAGGAATCTTGTAAATTTAGAGATGATGGAAGGCAGCATTAGCCACAAACCCAAAGTAGGAACCCAAAGAAGCAATTCAAACTAGGAGTTATACTAAATGATTGTTCAGCAAACTGCAGCTCGCAAGCCACATGTGGCTCTTTGGCCCCTTGAGTGTGGCTCTTCCACAAAATACCACGTGCAGGCACGCACATACAGTTTGTGGCCCATGGATAGAAGTCAGTTTTCGGTTCTCAAAATAAATTTCAATCATTGTACTGTTGATATTTGGCTCTATTGACTAATGAGTTTGCCGACCACTGTACTAAACTAAAACATTTTTAAAACCAGCAAACCCTGAAGTCTATAAATTTGGGTATACATTAAGTTGCTATCTTTTACAACCAAGATGAATTAGCAAATGGCAAAATCTAAAAGATGATGATTGACAGGCAGATTTTTCTAACAGAAAATTTCCTAACATTTCTATGTTTTCAGTAAACTTTTATACAAATTCAATATAATACCGCAGTACTTAATTTTTACTGTTCATACTTTACCTATCTGGACTGAAGCTGGCTCCATAGACAGGCCCACTGTGACCATACAAAATCTTTAATTCACTTGCTGTTTTCTCATCCATGATTCTTTCTAAGACATCATCTGATTCTTTGTCTATGAGGCTAAGATCTGAAATGGTCCAGAAATACTGATTTTTAAAAGAACATTCATTAAAACATTTTAAGGCAATTACTTCATAGTTCAGAAGAAGAACATTTGAATAGTTCTTCTGGCATACCACCCACTGTGCAAATGCCTCTAAATTAGGTGATACTATTCCAGTGTATAGCAGAGGAAACTGAAGTTCAGAACAGTTAATAATTTGCCAGAGTGCACACAGCTAGATACTCAATGTTGGACCTAGGACTGAACTCAAATTATCCACTCTATCACAATGTTTCTCAAAAATGAAAACTATGGAAAAATTATTAAAAATGTATTACCTTGTTTAATAGGATAGCAAGGAAGAAACTCTTTAAAATGGAAGTCCTGTTTTGTTTTGTTTTTGTTTGTTTTTTAATATATTTTATTGAGGAAAGAAGAAGGACAGAGAGCTAGAAACATTGATGAGAGAGAAACATCGACTAGCTGCCCCCCGCACACAACCCACTGGGGACGTGCCCACAACCAATGCACATGCCCCTGACTGGAACCGAACCCGGGACCCTTCAGTCCGCAGACCGATGCTCTATCCACTGAGCCAAACCAGTTTCGGCCTGTTGTTGTTTTTTTAATTCACAAATAATCATAAGATGTTGGATTTTTAACCTTACGTTTTCTAGCACATTCCCCTCATCCTACAAAGGAAAAAACTGAGGCCCAGAGAAATTAAACCAGTCTAGTACTCCAGTCTCCTGATTGCCACTCCAATGCACTTATCACTATTGGGGATGTTAGCATTTTGAGTTAATGTAAAATCAAGGCTGGTGTGAATGAAGAGTTCACAACCTGACAGGTCATCTCAGTTACCTGCTGCTTGTTTGACACTACGAAGCTTTTTGGGAGTCACAGACCACACTCGGACAGTTGAATCTGCAAAACCTCCAGCAATCAAACTAGAATCATCAGTGACATCCACTGCAGTAAGGCCCTGCCCAGGGGGAAAAAAATGTTTATATTAATACTGTTTTAGGGAGAAGAAAATTACAATCACATCTTAGAGAATAAACAGTGATAGCTATTGCCCTGGCCAGTGTGGCAGTTGGTTGTGCATCATCCTGTACACTGAAAGGTTACTATTTTGATTCCTGGTCAGGCTTCTGCCCAGGTTTCCGGCTCAATCCCCAGTAAGGGGACTGCAGAAGGCAGCAATGTTTAATTCTCACATTGATGTTTCTCTTCCTAAAAATCAATTTTAAAAAATAGCAATTTGTGTCATATAAAAGATCATTTGATATTTCATTTTCATATGAAACTAAGTGTTTGAAATCACTTACTTTTAGAGCACGCATCATTTATCCCTTTTTGCCCTCCAAATTTGGTGTATGATATGAAGCAAATATTAATCATTTTTGCACTTTACTAAATGTATCCTCAGCAGCCTACTATAATCTCTAAATGAAATTTTTAATAAAAAACTCTAATTTACATTCTAAATGAAATTCTTAATAAAAACAATAAGTTTACATAAGTACTTAAAATCAAACCCAATAGAGATGAACTAGTTCCCTCTTCCTGAAAGGCGAGCAGAAGAATTCTGATCAGTAAAACCAGGGGCACATGTTTGCAGGATTCTCATATCTACAAGTTGCTGAAGTTCTTTTAAACATTGCCTTCTATCCCTAGCAATGTCCAACTCTCCTTTTTTTAAAAAATATATATATTATTAATTTTTTACAGAGAGGAAGGGAGAGGGATAGAGAGTTAGAAACATCAATGAGCGAGAAACATCTATCAGCTGCCTCCAGCACACCCCCTACGAGGATTTGCCCCCAAGGTACATGCCCTTGACCAGAATAGAACCTGGGATCCCTCAGTCAGCAGGCTGAAGCTCTATTCACTGAGCCAAACCAGTCAGGGCCAACTCTCCTTTCTTAATAGGTGTCTTTAAACTGTATTTATATCAAGAATTTAAATAAAACTCCATTTTAATGAACGCATTTCATTTAATAGTGTATTACCATTTTTACATGATTTTCCAGGAAGAAATTGCCCTATTATTTTACCAACCTGGTAAGCATTGAGGAATGTATAGAAACAAATGGAAGGTAAACAGTCTGGCCCAAGGCGCACCCGTTTGGTGGTTTCTTTCATATTCATTATCTTATCTAACTTATCTGAATCTTTCAACTCAGGAAGCGGGATTCTATGAAAGAAAAACAGACTGAAAATTACTCTATTAAGAAGCCAGAACCCTGTGAAGCATATCAACTGATACTTTCACACATGTTCCTGAGGTTTCTTCCTCACCTGTTTTGAGGTGGAGCATTGGGATCCTGTTTTTTGCTTTTGGATCCAATACTATCCTTTTTAGGCTTCTTCTTTTTAGGTTTTCCTTCTTCATTTTCTCCTTCTTCATCCTCGTCATCCAAAGGCACTTCAATTTCTGGCTCTTTTAATAAACCAAAAAATACCTACAAACAAAAGAGCCAACACTTTTAAAATAATTTTTTTGTTCATTGATACACCCTTATCATATTTTGACAGGATGAATCACAACTACAAACATAGTCATTTATACCCTGAAGCAGATTCTGCACTTATCAACCCAATAGCCAATTTCCCAAACTTCTTCCTTACTAACAGAACCCTGATTTTGTTGGAGCAGCAATACGATCAGTTAAATAATTTCTGTTCCTGGGCTCCCATGCAGGTAGGAATGGCCATATAATGTCATTCTGGCCAACAAATATGCACACAAATATGCAGGGTAGAGTTTTAGAAAAAAAAAACAAAAAACTATTTTCCTGATTAAAAAGAGAGAGATTCAGCAGGATTATGCCTTTTGTCCTCCCCCTCTGCCTTCTTGGAATGCAACTACCAGGCTGAAGCTCCAATAGCCTTCTGTGAGCACAAAGAAGAGAGTTACATTTTAAAGATGGTGAAGCAGAAACTAGGAGCCGGGGTCCCTCATGCCAGCCCAGGAGGGCTTTCCTCTGTAATATCAATTTATGTGAGAGAAAAACCCTCAATTGTTTCAGCCTCTACAGTCAGGGTTCTGTTAAATGCAACCATTCCCCATTTCTCACAAAACTTTGTATACAGTGTAACATAAATCCCAAACTAGCTGTAAGAAAAATGTGTAGATGGAAATGCTACAATTTTTCATAATCTGTATTACACAGTTCTTAGGTTTATTCCCATACCTTTGATTTGTTTGCCTCTCGTTTAGCCTCTCCTGCCAAACTTCCCACCATCGCATCTATCTGCTGCTTACTACGCGGCATCCCATCAAAGATGTCAATGTAGAGGTGCTCCTGAACTATGTTCCATATCTGATTGTTCTGTTTCTCCTGAAGATGCCTCTTCAAGAGTTGGTACGAGTCACGGGAAATACGCAGAACAAATTTACTTGTTCGAAAATCCAACATGGTCTCATTCCCTTTCATGTGTTCCTTTTTGGTAAGACTAGATAATACTCGTAGGTCATCTTGGTAATAACATTCCTGATCTCCATGGAACCTGTTTCAGTGATTTTAAAAAGTCATTTTTCAATGTAATCATTAAGGGCTCTGCCTCTCCCCCATATATTTATAAACATACCAGAATATATTCAACGTGTCTGGATAATCCTGGACTAAGCTGTAGGATCATAAGTGACTTATTTCAAAATTACATTTCAGTTTCTGAATTCATCCTAAAAATTACTAATTTAACTCTCCAATGAAATGTATCATACTGTAAATATTTTAAGAGAATTTGAAATAAATAACAAATGAATGAAAGATAAGATATCCACCATTGGTAGATAAGTCTCTTCTGAATGCCACCGTTGGTAGACATTTAAAAATGTTAGAATCTTTGCTTTACTAAATTTTATTAAATTTTATGTTCTCTTAAAAATCCACTTTAAAAAATTTCTTTATGAAAAATTTCAAACATATACAGAGTAGAAATTATAATATAATGAATTCAATGTACCTATCATCCAGCCTCTCAACAATAATCAATGAATGGCTTTCTCAGAAAACCCACCATTTTTAATGATTTCTTATATTCTTAATACTCGACATATCTGTTAAACATCAGTATATTTTAATAATATGACTAAAGAACAAAAGATGTCAAAGAATGAGCACTTCCATTTACCTAATTAAATAAAGGCAATTAAATAAAGCTTATAGGCTTGGTAACAATTAGTAAATTTAAATGTATTTTTTATACAAATCTTAATTTTCCTAATAAAGTAAAATTAAAGAACATATATTTGGCATTCACTAAGCAGCAAGCAATGCAAACACATTTAGAAAACAATGATTAAACATAAGGTATCATGATCCTAGCTCTGACAGGCACACATTCAAAAGATTCCTAAACTGTTACCTGTGTTACCCTATTACAACGCATCAAGACATGAACTAAGGGTTCTAAGATTTGAAAGAAATTAGAAATCTCAGCCTCTTAGTACTTGTATCAGTCACTATTCATAACTTCATCTGAGCACTGGATCCAGGGAAGGGCTGAGATTGTTGTAACAAGGAGACAGAGAGTACACTGATATTCCAGCTTCCTATGTGAGATTGCTTTACCATGAGAAAGGAAGAGGTTTATTGATGACAATACGTAAGAAAAATGAACTTAGGGTAGAAGTCCTATCACCATCAGCCTTATGTAATTGTTTTTAAAAAAAAACAAAAAACTGAACTATGAACAGTTGCTTTATGTCTTCTACTAGCATCGTGGAATAATGAAAGAATCTAATGGCATAGAAGCTAAGAGTCCTGAGTTTTATTATTTCTCTATTACCACTATCTGTGTTATCTAACAAGTCCTGGCTTGCAGTTCTATTGCTTGTACTAAATAGCTCTCATTCAAACTTTTGAGCATTGCCTGCCTTTCTTTTTTTTCTTTTTCTTTTTCTAAATGAAAACTTTTAGAAGATTTCAGTCAGGCTGCAGGATTCTCATATCACTGCCTCCTTTCTTAAACACTTCTTTTCTTTGGCTTCTATAACTCAACACTCCCCTGGTTTTCTTCCTACTTTTCTGGCCTCTCCTTTTATCTCTTCTTCTTGGCCATCTCTTCTACTTCCTTTATAGCTCTTCTACTCCCAATGTCAGAGATCCTCAAGGCTCGGACCTAGCCCTCTCACTGACTTATTTCATACCTCTCCCCGACAATCTCATCCATATCCATCAATATTACACAAATTCCAATTTATGATTCTAGTCCCTACTTCTCCTCTAAGCTCTAGAGGCTTATATATCATCCACTCCTCAATTTGACATCTCTTAAAAAGTCATCAAGGCATAGTCAAATCTGAACTCAAGACTTTTCCACAACCTGACAAACCCTTGCAGGGTATTCTCTATTTCAGTGAAGGAAACGGCTATCTGGCTGGGGAAGCAGAAACCTAGGGGCTATCAATAATACCTTCATCTCCTTCACCTTCATATCCAATCCATCACCAAGTGCCTCACCAATATGTCCCTTTCACCAATACTACTATACCCTAGCCCAGTGTTTCTCCACAAGTGTGCTACTGGCCCTTGGGATAGAACAATCTCTGCTAAGTGGGACTACCTGCACATGTGAGAACATTTGGTATCCCTAAATCACCTGCTCCTCCCCCTTAGTCATTATGACCACCCAAAACACCTCCACTCATTTTCCCAGTTGAAAAACACAACAATAACCTCCAAAACTGGTCAATCTATAGACACTCTGTGCACCCACCACCTATTTTCCCCAATGCATAAAGGTCCTTTCAAAATGCAAATCTAATGATATGATCCTTAATGACTTCTTTAGCAGAGATGCCTCACTGTCTCCAAATATCCATTTTTCATTTTCCCTCCACAATAGAACTCCTGAATAGAACATGTGGACTAAGCATAGTGATACTTAGGTAAAGAGCAAGCACATTTCCTACCTCTCATAGATAGATGTGACTGTCGAACTAATGACATTAAAAAAAAAAAAAAAAAAAAAGGAAGAAATGAGATTGCTTAGAACCATCTTGTGCCACAGGTGGAAGCTGCATGACAGGGATGGTAGAGCAACAAGACTTGAGAGTGCCCAGATCCTTACTAATCAAGGACTCCATGCCAGCCCTAGACTGCCTAACTTCATAAGAGAAAGAAATAAGCTTTTATCATATTTAAGCCTCTATTTTGTTTGGGTTTTCAGTCACTCTCCAACTAATCTAATCCTAACATAGCTTCCTGTTCTCTTGGCATATTTTATTGATGCCATAATGTTCAACTTTTCAGTGAATCTCAGACAAATCAACTTCTAAACAATACAATCCCCTACTGCTCTTAGAATAAACGAAGATCTTCAACCTGGCCCAAGAACCTGCCTCTTCTAGCCCGTAACCAACCGTCCAGTTTCATGTTGTACCGCTCACCACTCCATACTCCTCTCTAGCCACACTGCCCTTCTTTCATCTGTGCAACCACGATGATGTCCACTGCCACAGAGGTTAGCTTTCACACGTGCTTTTCCCTTCCCTTCACCTGGTTAACTCCTAGCCAATCTTCAATCGTACCTCTGGGAGCATCACTTCCTCTGGGAGCCTTCCATGACTTTCTAACTAGATCAAAACCCCCTATTTTAGGTTGTCATAGCACCAGGTACCTCTCCTTCATAAAGTACTTTTTGAATTACAATCTAACATTTACCAGAATGTAGTCACAGATGAGTATGTATATTACACACAGACACGCACGGTATGTATAAGATATATTAAAAATCACATACTTCTCAAAGAATGATTTTGCTTCATTCTCATGTTGATTGTAGACTAGTTCTAAGTACATGTGCACAAACAGAGGATAAAAGAGTTGGGATAACTCTGCCCGATGGCAGTCCAAGGAACACTCAATGAAGTGTTTCAGTCCACTATAGTATTCTTCATACATTGTGGGGTCTCCTTGTTGGTTGTAAGCTGACAGCACAGCACTGACATCTGGCTGGTCTTCCACAGCTACACTTCCAACTGTTTAAAAAGAACACGAAAAACAGCTTTCAAAAAGATAACCTAATATATACCAAATGACTAGGACTATTTGGCTAAGGTCCAGAGGTTGACTAATGTTTGTCTCTCTCCTCTCAAACTCTTTCCCCACAACACAATCACATAATCTTTTAATGGGATTTTTACTTTGTTTCAGTCACTTACCCAAAAATCCTTCAGCTTGTTCATATCTTAAAACAAAATTTTCTTTTCTTTTCTTTCTTTCTTTATTTATTTTGAGAATACATTTATTAAAGCTGGGGACAGTGAAGGAAGGGCTTACGACAGAAGAAGCAACAGGAGAGAGTCTAGGCCAGGCTTCTTTGGCTCACTGAAGAGTGAGAGAAAAGGGGGCCTTGGGGACAGGCTCAGGGAGTTAGCCCTGGATGAGCTGCTACTGCCCACTGCTCCCCTGGTTGCAAGTCTCATGAGGACCCTTAGGAGAATTTAGGAGATGCATGCCTGTGGGGGGAGAAGAGGGGAAGGGGAAAAGAAAGGCATGGGTGTGGTCCTAGGAGAGTGTACCAAAACAAAATCTTTAGTACTCTGTAACTTTCTTTGTAACATCCTATCCTGTTAGCTTCATATGTGTACATCTCTCATTCCTGTAAGCATTTTAAGGGTGGGAAGGACATGCCTTATTTATATTTCCAAAAGATATACCTAAACAATTTTCAGAACCACCACTTCAAGGCAGAAAACATGAGTATTTATTTATAATGCTAGAGGCCTGGTGCACGAAATTCGTGTACGGTGAAGGGGGTCCCTCAGCCCAGCCTGCACCCTCTCCAATCCGGAACCCCTCAGGGGATATCCGACTGCCTCTCGAAATCCAGGACTGCTAGCTCCTAACCACTCACCTGCCTGCTGCCTGATTGCCCCTAACTGCTCCCCTATTGGTTTGATCGCCCCTAACCACCTCTACCTCACCCCTCACGGGGACCCAGGATTCCCTCCTCCGGCTTGTCGAAAGCACCCAGGACTTGGGCCAGCTTTGCCCGGGCTGGCTGCAGCCACATCTGCAGAGGACCATGGGCAGGTGGCTTTGCCTGGGCTATAGCCGCAGCTGCAGGTGCCTGAGACCGCAGTGCAGGCAGCAGCCTGGTTGGTCCCCATTCTTCTCTTTCCAATGTTGACTGTCTGAGCCTATATGCATGACTGTGTGTGGGCGGGAGGTCCATTTGCACAATAGCTCTTTATTATTTAGAATAGCAATAGCAAGTAATGATACATGTGTAAATTGAATTAGAGTTTTTTGGAAATTTTTAAGTTGCAATGAAAGTACTGTTATATTGCCCTAACCGGTTTGGCTCAGTGGATAGAATGTCAGCCTGCAGACTGAAGGGTCCAAGGTTCAATTCCGGTCAGGGGCATGTGCCTTGGTTGCGGGCATGTCCCCAGTGGGAGGTGTGCAGGAGGCAGCTGATTGCTGTTTCTCTCTCATCAATGTTTCTCTCCCTCTCCCTTCCTCTCTGTAAAAAGTCAATAAAACATATTTTAAAATAAATAAAATATAGATCAAGTTTCTGAAGAGATGGGAGATTGTAACAAAATGACCAACAACATAATTCACCCATCAGATAGTTCATTCACAAAATTTAGCCTTCAGAAAAAATTACACTCATTCATATTTTTGCACATTTCTATTTATGGATTACAATGCTATGCATTCATACTTCACTTCTGGCAATGCTGCAAAGATTATGTCTCACAAATAGAGATTAATTTGACTAGGAGCTCTGCAATGGATAATTTAATTCAACAAACATCTGTTATTGGCTCCGGATCACTTTTGAGACCTCATATTGCACGCATATGAGGTTTACTGCAAGAACTTTGTAAAAGTAGTTGCTGGGGAAAGGAAGGGGGGCCTCAGGTGTCACGAATGGATATCTAGGCATCAACTTTTCATTGCCAGTCATTTTACATATATTATAGCTGAGCCTCCCAATCGCCCACTTAATAGAGGGGGGGGCGGGGAGGCATTCAACCTTAGGAAGAATAACTATATCAACATCACCCAAGTAAAGCAGCAGAGGCACAATCTGAGCCCAGTCCGTCCAAAGCCTATTCCTAAACGAATGGTTCTCAAACTTTGCCATACAGCAATACCCCTTGGAAGCGTTTATTTAAAAAGAAAAAAAAAATTCAGATCCCCAGATCCACTCAGTCTGAATCTGCATTCCCCAAAAAGACTTAAAACTCGTGGTACTTAACCTGTAGTTTTGAAGAAACACTGGCTACACTGTTCCATGACTCCCTGACTGTGTAGTCCGGAGCCAGTCCCTCGGCTTTTCTGTCTGTTCCCTCATCTCTGAGGCAGCAATAATGCATATCTTTTACCGCGGAACTGCGAGAATTAAGGCACAGAACCTAACTATGCATGGTACCTAACGTGTGCTAGTACAGAACTGTACAAACACTGTCACTGTCTGTGCAGACCTGCCCAAGGCTCAAGAGCCCAAACAGGAGGAAAGGGACCAAACACCTGCAGGTCCCCGCTCCCCGCTCCCGGCGCCCACCTCCTTCCCCACCCGTCCCCGGGCTCAGCAGCCCTCAGCCTCTGGGTGGAACTGACAGCTCCACCGAAGAGAGGGTTTGACTGCGCAGCCGGCGCACCAGAGAAAGGGGCGGGCGTGCGGCCCTAGAGGCGGGCCCAGGAAATTCAAAACAAGCCCGCAGAGGTGCAGGCCCGCCAACCTCGGCGCGCCCGGCGAGCTCCCCTCCGCGCCGGCGCCCCGTCCCCGCACCCGGCGGCTCACCTTTCCCCGGAGCCGCAGGACACGTCGCTGAGCCCGAGACGGCGGCGGCGGCTCCCGAAGCGCCGGTGCCCGGAGGCTCGGGGGCCGCAGGGCCGGGAGCCGAGGCGGTGACACGGCTGAGAAGCGCGCTGGCCGCCTCGGCGCCCGCGCCGTCCGCCTCGCCCGGCGCGCTGCAGCCCGCCGCTGCCTCCTCCAGCAGCCGGGCCTCCCGGCGCAGCGCCTCCTCGGCCTCGCGAAGGTTGCTCTGCCGCAGGAACTGCAGCACGGCCAGCAGCGTCTGCCGGTCGTGGGGAGCGCCGGCCTCCGGAGCAGCGGCGGGCACCGGGGCCGCCCCCGCCGGGGCAACGGCAGGGACAGCCACCGAAGGCTTGGGGGTCCCACCATCCCCGCCGGCTGACGACGCCGCCGCAGCGTTCCCGCCGCCACCATTGGGGCCGTTGTTGGTGGTGCCGCCGCCACCCTCGCCAGCGGCGTCCCCCGCCTGAGGAGGTAGCAGCGTCGGCGGTCCCTCAGCCTCTAACTTGACCGCCACCTCCGTCTGCTCCTCCGCCAGCGCCGCCATCTTGCGGCTGAGCCACCTTGTGCCGTCAAGTGTGATTGAGTTTTCGCCACATGGAGGGCGGGGAGAAGCATTTTACGACACCCTCGGAGGGCACTTTACGGCAGTGGGCGGGGCGAGAAAGCGGGGAGGGGTGAGTAGAGGAATTCGAGCGAGAGCGACTTTCAAATAGCGAGTGACGGAGAGGCAGGAAGTTGGCGTTGGCGACCGCCTATCGCGTTTGCCTGAAAATAATTACCATTTATTGCAGACCAGCTATATTCAGGCATAGTAGTGGATGGTTTCCATTATACGACCTCTAATTGAACAATTTTGCAAGGTACTATTATCGATATTCTCACTTTACATATGGCTCGTCTGAGACCCGAAGAATTTACATAACTTGCTAAAGTCACGCAAGAAGAAAATGAAAGTGTCGATTTTCGAATCTAGGTATTTAACGCAAAAGCGTATACCATTTGCCAGAGGGAAGCTTCTGAGGTGCTGGTAAATGTTTTATATTTTTATCTGGGTGGTGGTTACTTTTTTTTTTTTTTTCTTCCCGTTTTTACTTCAGTAAAAAATTAAGCTGCATACCTAAATAAGCTCTGTAAAACTTTATTTCAATAAAAAGTCTTAAGTATCTAAATTTAAAACTGTGTGCAATGTGTACCCTCTGTATTCGTGCTGTTATTCATTATTCACATTGTAAAATTTCTACGTTTTAATTGTAAATTTTAAAATAGTATATTCCGTTTTTGCAGTATGCTTCTCTTGGTTATTAAACCCTGCTGCATATTTAATCTCACTTGAAACTCACAACTCTGCGGGATAGGTGCAAACAAGAAAAGTGAACCTGAGCCCTAGCTGGTTTGGCTCCATGGGTAAGAACATCGGCCTGCGGACTGAAGGGTCCCAGATTCGATTCCATCCGGGGCACATGTCTGAGCTATGGTCTCCATCTTCAGTAGGGGGCGTGCAGGAGTCAGCCAATCGGTGATTCTTCTCTCTTCCTTCCTCTCTGAAATCAATATTTTTATAAAGTTAACCTGAGACATTGGGAATATTTAGCACAATTATTCAGGTTATTGGTTTTAAGGTCTTACTAGCTTCCTTTGATGTCCTGATTACCAGCTGGATCACCTAGCACAAGTTATTTATCTTACCTCAGTTGCCCAATTTCTAAAATAAAGACAATAATAGTACCTCAGAAAGTTGCGTGAGGATTAAATGAGATAATGTGTATATGATACCTAACACATAATAAATAGCTAGCTATTTTTTTTTTTTACTTTATCTTAAAAGGTTTTCTGTAAATGTTAAAGTCCAATCATGATGTTGATGGTGATTTCAAGACTGAAATAGAAAACTAATCGAATTGGATATGCAAAGTAAGATTATGAAACATGGAGTGTGGGGTGGGATGAATTAAGCAAGAATTGATTAGCATTTACTTAGCACTGAGCAAGAGAGAAAGAACCTGAATCTGATGGTACATACTTATGAGATGGAGAGAATTCATCCTTTTCCTCAGAATCATTCAACTAATTTTTCTGATTCAGTATTCACTAGTTGATAATTGGTAATTGATTGAGTACTTAGATAAGCAATACCATGATTAATAAGCCCGAAAGTGTTTTCTATTTCCTAGGAAGGTGTTTTCTTCCATTATGAATAGTAAATAACATTCTGATGCATACATTAGTCTCTCAAATCAGGCCCTGGAAACTGGGTCCACCTGTACAACTTAAAGCCCAGACACTGGACTCACAGCTACCCACTTTCTGCAGGACCCACCTTTTACCTGCCTCTGTCTTAGAGTCTGAGTTGAGACTTCAGCTGAGGTTACTTACTCCAAATAGAGTGATTTTTCTATTACACTGCAATAGAGGTAAGTGTATTGAATGCCTGCAAGGCCCACTCTTAATTTTTTATTCTTTTTTCTCCCTTCCTTTCTGACCTCTACTTCCATTCTACACTCTTCTTGGGATGCTTTAAGAATGTCAATCTGCCCCTAGCTGTTTTGGCTCAGTGGATAGAGTATCAGTCTGCGGACTGAAAGGTCCCAGGTTCAATTCTGGTCAAGGGTACATGTCTGGATTGCAGGCTTGATCCCAAGAAGGGGGCATTAAGGAGGCAACCGATCAATGATTTTCTCTCATCATTTGTGTTTCTATCTCTCTCCCCCTCTCCCTTTCTCTCTGAAATCAATAATATATATATATATATATATATATATATATATATTTTTTTTTTTTACAAAGTGTCAATCTGTAGTTTGTTCCTTCATAGAAGAGTTACTCTTTCTCTCTGAATGTTTCTCTTTCTTTTTGATGTTCTTTCATTTCACTCTAATGTATCTAGAATTAGATTTTTTTTTCTCTGTATCCTGACTTGCCTTTTATGTACCCATTCAGTCTGAATTTTTTTTTTTAGTTTGAGCATTTAGCAAGCATTCTACCTATAAATATATCCTCCCTCTATTTTTCCCTACTCCAGGATTCTTCAGGTGTATGTATTATACTTACACTTCTATCCTCTAAGTCTGTTAAATTTAATATGTTCATGTTTACCTCTCCCTGATACCTCCTAGAAGAGTTTCATAACCTGATTTTTCAGTGCAGTAAATCATTCTTGGCCTAGGTCCATATTGCTAAGTAACCCATTTATTGAGCTATTTACTTCAACCATTATATGTTTTTATAGCACTTTAAATTAGTTCTTCAGGATTTATTGTTCCTGGCGCTCTCCCTCCAGGGAGCATGCCTGTGCCATTCCCTTCCCCTCTCCGTCCCCCACAGGCACACATCCCCTAACCTCTAAGAGATGCCATGAGATTTGCAACGAGCAATGGGCAGTGGCAGCTCATCCCAGACTAACCCCATGAACTTGTCTCCAAAGCCCCCTTTACTCTGACTTCCCAGCGAGCCAGGGCCCAGCCTACGCACTCCTTGTTTCACTGTCTTAAGTGCATTTTTGCTACTGCACATAAATTCTTGCTTGCTTTTCTATACTTCATCTCTTGATTGAAATCTTTTCCCTCAAAAAGACAAGAACTAAGGTCTCCTCCTCTCCCCAATAACACTAACCACTTGCCACCTTCCAGGGTATGGCTTGGCTATTTGTAATTGCACTGAAGACTTTAAAAATATATATATATTTAGAACCCAGCTGCTGTGGCTCAGGGCTTGAGCATCGACCTATGAACCGGGAAGTCCTGGTTTGATTCCTGGTCAGGGCACATGCCTGGATTGTGGACTCAATCCCTAGTGTGAGACATGCAGGAGGCAGCTGATCAATGTATCTTATCTCTTATAGTCACAGAGCTGATCCTGTGGGTTGCTGAATTATAATATAATTGCAATATAAGTGGTATTCACAGCCTGACCAGGTGCACTGAATGGGAATGAGAGACACTTAGGAATCAAAATGGGGTTTAGGTGAATGCCAATGACTGAGTTCCCTGACTTACCAAATCCAAAATCCAATGAAATTCTTTTGCCATTAAAAACAACAAAAATGGCCAAACCGGTTTGGCTCAATGGATAGAACATTGGTCTGCGGACTGAAAGGTCCTGGGTTCAATTCCGGTCAAGGGCATATACCTTGATTGTGGGCACATCCCCAGTAGGGGGTGTGCAAGAGGCAGCTGATTGATGATTCTCTTTCACTGATGTTTCTAACTCTCTATCCCTCTTTCTTCCTCTCTGTAAAAAATCAATAAAATATATATATATATTTTAAAAATGGCCGAAATCGGTTTGACTCAGTGAATAGAGCATCAGCCTGCGGATTCACAGATCCTAGGTTCGATTCCGGTCAAGAGTATGTACCTTGGTTGCGGGCACATCCCCAGTAGGGGGTGTGCAGGAGGCAGCTGATCGATGTTTCTCTCATCGATGTTTCTAACTATCTCCCTTCTCTGTAAAAAATTAATAAAATATATTTTAATAAAAATGACAAAAACGATTTATTGTCCTGCTTCTAATAATCCAGTTGGGTAATTTTGTTTTCCCCCTTCCTCACCCACCCCAGGTGGTGGAGTGTCCGGAGACACTTTTGGTTGCCACAACTTGGGGTGGTGTTACTGGCATCTAGCACATAGAAGCCCGTAGTGCTGCTAACTTCCCGCAATGCACAGGACAGCCCTAGCCCCACCACCACAAAGTATTATCGGTCCCAAAATGTCAGTAGTGCCAAGGTTGAGAAATCCTGATGTAACAAATATGAATTCCCTCTCTCTCTCTCTCTCTCTCTCTCTCTCTCTCTCTCTCTCTCTCTGTTGTTAATCCTCACCCAAGGATATTTTTCCATTGACTTTTAGAGAGAGTGGGAGGGATAGAGGGAGGGGTGGTGGGAGAGAAAGAGTGGAAGAGAGAGAAACATAAGTGTGAGAGAGACACACAATTGATTGCCTCCTGCACATACCCTGACCAGAGCTGGGGATTGAACTTGCAACGCAGGTATGTGCCCTTGACCAGGAATAAACCCTAGACCCTTTGATGTCTAACCACCAACCTTTTGTTTTCTTTGAGGCTATGTATTTATTATCTTACTTAAATTACTTTTATATCTGATGTATTTTATCTGTTTCTCTAGATTGTTCACTTTCTTGCTTTAATGGGAGATGCACCTCCTTCTACATCTCTTTACTTTTCTCCACATTTGTATTTGTGAGTATCATTTACTTTGGCTGATAAAAATATATACCCAGAGGGAGTGGCTAAAGCCCAGCATTGGGAAAAGGTGAGGGATGCCCCAAAGGGATTCATCACTCTCTGTTTGCTAACCCACAGGCACACAGGTGCACACACATATCCTCTGGCTTTCACTGTTTTTTTACAGATCTTTACGTTAGAGCTGCATAGTACTCCATCTTGTGGCTATTCACTTGTTTATTCATTTACTTTCCTATGTGTGGGCATTTAGCTGGTTTCCAGTATTGTGCAATTACAGTGTGACAGTGAGCAACCTTTTGCATATTTATTTTTGTATTTTTGGATTATATTTTCAGAATAAATCTTAGATGAGTGATTGATAGGTCAAAAAATAAATGCTGCCCAGAGGTGTGGCTCAGTGGTTGAGCATTGACCCATGGACCAAGAGTCATGGTTTGATTTCTGTCAGCACACATGCCCTGGTTATGGGCTTCCTCTCCAATAGGGTGTGTACAGGAGGCAGCTGATTGATGTTTTTCTCTCTTTGGTGTTTCTATATCTCTCTCTTAAAAAAAAAAAATCAATAAAAACATATATTTTTTTAAAAAGATAAATGCACACGTTGTTTTCTCAGACATTTCCAAACTGTCCTCAAGATTTCTACCAATTAGCAATCCTATAAGCAGTACAAAAGTGACTGTTTCATCACCAGAATGTTTTGTTACTTTTTAATTTTTGCTATTCTAATAGGTGGAAAATGGTACTTTCGTGTGGTTTATCATCATCTTTTTTTTTTTTTACATAGAGTAAAATTGAATTTTTTTTTTTTGCGTGCAGTTCTGTGAATTTCAACACATAGATTTGTGTAGCCACCTGCATTCTCAGAATACAGAATCATTCCATCACTCTAAAAACTCCCTCATGCTAGCTTTTTGGAATCAAATCCTTCCCCCACCTCTAACCTCATTGATCTCTTCTGTCTCCAAAGTTTTAACCTTTCTAGAATGTCATAAAAATGGAATTATACAATATGTTACCTCTTGAGATCAGCTTGTTTCACTCAGCATAATGCCTTTGAGATTGATTTATTGTTTAACTAGAGGCCCGGTGCACAAATCTGGCTCTCTAATATCCCCCAAGGTTGTCCTGGATTGTATGAGGGCACAGGCCAGGCTGAGGGACCCCACTGGTGCATGATCAGGGCCAGGGAGGGACCACAGAAGGGCTCCAGAGCATGTCTGGACCCATCTGGTCCCAATCTCCAGGACCCCAGTAGCAAGTAACCTACCTGCCTGAGTGTCGATGCCCTGGTGGTTCGTGTGCATCATAGCAACTGGTTGAACAGTCAGACTAACGGTTGACACTTAGCATATTAGGCTTTTATTATATAGGATGTTCTAATGTTTCATCTCTTTTTTAAAATATTTTTTTATTTGAGAGATGAAGGGGAATAGAGAAATATCAATAATGAAAAAGAGAAAAAGGATAAGAATTTAAAAAATGAAAATATATGGAAAAAAAAATCAGTGATGAGAGAGAATCATTGACAGGCTGCCTCTTGCACACCTCACATTGGTGATCAAGCCAGAAACCCAGGCATGTGGTGATCAAGCCAGAAACCCAGGCATGGTGGGGAATTGAACCGGGGGCCTCTTGGTTCATAGGTCAGCACTTAATCATGTAGCCACATTGGCAGGGTTATCTTTTCACCTGGTGAAGAATATTTGGATTGTGTGTTGGTTTCCTACAGGTGTCAAACAAAGGTACCAAATTGTTCATGTGCTAGTACGGTATATAACTATATATACACTGCTAGTATATAAAAATATAGTGCTCTGTGATCAGTCATGTAAATTATTGCTATCCGAAATGATACCAATTTAGTTGTTTTTAAAAGGCAGTGAAGAGAGCGCCAGCCTTTCAAAAAAAACTCTCTTAAGATGCTGGCTGCAAGCCCCGCCCCACACACCTGAGCGGCCCCGCCCACGCCCGGGCTTAGGTGAGGCTCGGTGGACCACATTTCCCAGCGGGCCCCGCAGGTCTCCGCGCCTGCGCACGGCGGCCGGGGCGGCTGGAGCAACTCCCGCGCTATCCAGCCGCCTGGCCGCTTCTCTCCCGGTGTCCGACCTGGGCATGGAGGGGGTCCCGGTGCTGACGAGGGCTAACGCGGCCGCCGCCAAGGCGGAGGCAGCCGCAGCCATGCCGTCCTCACGGCCCACCTCCCCTCCCGCCCTCACCCCGGCGCCCGCCGCGGGCGAAGAGGGTCCGCCGCCTCTGGCCGAGGCGGGGGCTCCGGGCTGCTCGAGCTCCCGGCCCCCGGAGCTGAAGCCGGAGCGCAGCCTGGGCCGCTTCGTGGACGAGGACGAGGAGCTGGAAGAGGATGAGGAGCTGGAGGAGGAAGAGGAGGAGGAAGAGGAGGAGATGAGCCACTTCTCGCTGAGGCTGGAGGGGTGCCGGCCGGAATCCGAGGACGAGGAAGAGGTATGTGTCACCCCGGGGACCCCGCCGCGGCCTCCGGGACGCAGCCCGCCGTCCCCCCGGCCGAGCCCCCAGCTCGCCCCTGCAGCCTCGGGCACTGGCGTCGACCTCCGCCCCTCCCTGCCTTGCCTGCCCGGGCACGTGGCACGGACTGGCCTTTCCCGCCCCGCTTCCTTGCGGAGTCATTTTCTGCGGATCCTGCAGATCGCTTAGGCTCCCCGGGTCCGACTTACTGGTTCTCTTAAGTAATTATTGAAGCTACTGCGTGCCAGGCGGGCGGGCGCCCAGGATACCGTGCTCCTGCCACCCTGGAGCTTGCAGTCCAGGTGTTGGGAGAATGGCAAACCCTTTGCCATCTAGCTTGTCTCTTATTAAGATTTTTTTTTTTTTTAATGTGGTAGCGCATACTTGTTCAAGCTAGGGAATAGTACACCTAGCCAATCAGAATTACTATGTTAAACTTGAGCCTCAGTATCTGGAAAGTTTGCCCATTTTTTAAAGTGACTCATAAAGCAAAATGCCCCATCATCTGGCAAAACACTGTATCCAAACGAATGGGATGTGTTTGAAACATTGGTTTATATCGTGTTATTGTAACTTCCAGCCCTCTGAAGGGTTGGAGGTTACTGTAACATGTTTATATGTTGCAAAGTAAGTCACATATTGGTTATAATGAAATTTTGGGGTTATGGTTTTAAAATTTAAGAAGGTAGGTCTGTGCCAGGTAACTCGGTTGGTTAGGTTGGGTGTCGTCACTCTATGTCAAGGTTTCAGGTTAGAGTCCAGCCAGGGCACATACAAGAAGCAGTCAATGAATGGATACATAAGTGGAACAGCAGATCTATGTTTCTCTCCCTCTCAAATCAGTAAATAAAATAAAATTTGAGAAGGCAAGAGCTTGCTTGTATTTTAAAACTATTTCCATTGCATTTGCAGCGCCTGATTAATCTCTCTGAGTTGACCCCATACATCTTGTGTTCCATTTGCAAAGGTTACTTAATAGATGCAACTACCATTACAGAATGTCTTCATACATGTAAGTATATTGTACACATTTTTGAATAACATTCAAATTTTGAAATGTCTTGAAAGCATCCTAATGTGAACATTTTCTTTTTCAACAGTTTGTAAAAGCTGCATTGTAAGACATTTTTACTATAGCAACAGATGTCCAAAATGCAACATAGTAGTACATCAGACACAACCTCTTTATAACATAAGGTAAGAGGAATATATAAGTGCAGTTTATATTTTAAGTATGCTTTTTCTAAAAGCTTGAAGTAGTGTTTTTGGGGAATATATTTGCAAAATTAGAAGAAAGGAAACTATTTATTCTTTAAAGAAACACATATAGAGTACTTACTGTGTACCAGGCACTGTGATATCTGCTGGGGACTTAATTAAAAAAAAAAAAAAAAAAGCAGGGGAAATTTTTTTCCTGAAGATTTTAATTCCATCACTCAAGTTAATGAGGCCAGTTTAGGCTTGTCATTTTCAGTATATTTAGAATTCTACTTTCTAAAAGTGATACCTGAAAGAAAAAAAAAAAAAAAAAAACTGGCCTCTTTAGAATAACCTGTCTACTGTAGGTCATTGTGGCTTATTAATCAGATTTTCAGTTCATGGTCAGTTTCCTAAGGAAAGAAAAATACTAAACATGGATTGCTTTAGTTTGTTCAACAAATACTGTCACGTTTTTACTACCTCCATAGTGCTTTGCAGATGATACACGGAAATTCAAAATACAGTATTTGCCTTTAAGCTTACATTCTTTTTTTTTTTTTTTTTTTTTTAAATATATTTTATTGATTTTTTTCAGAGAGGAGGAGAGAGGGATAGAGAGCTAGGAACGTCCATGAGAGAGAAACATCGACCAGCTGCCTCTTGCACACCCCCTACCAGGGATGTGCCCGCAACCAATGTACATGCCCTTGACCGGAATCGAACCTGGGACCTTTCAGTCCGCAGGTTCGACGCTCTACCGCTGAGCCAAACCGGTTTCGGCTAAGCTTACATTCTTATCAAGGGAATAAAAACAGCACACCTGGAACAATTTACCAAACTCTTGAAGAACCTTTGATTGTAATTATGATTATACATAATTACTTGAGGTTCTCTTAAATGAGAGCCATGAGTGCGATCTAAACGTAACTCACCTCTAAGAAAGTGGCTAGCCACTCCCAAGTACTTACAAAGCCTCATTCACTCTGTACCAAAATGCATTTTCTTGAATTCTGAGGTGTTCTCCATCCTTTCCTTTTATTAGGTTGGACCGGCAGTTACAAGACATAGTGTACAAATTAGTGATCGATCTAGAGGAAAGTAAGTTTATTTTATTACATAGTTATGAATCCCAGAATCTCTACTGACTCTACGAGTTACATTTAAAGTGTAATTTAGTCTGTGTTTTATCATTTTTTAGGAGAAAAAAAGCAAATGCATGATTTCTATAAAGAAAGAGGTCTAGAAGTACCTAAACCTGGTAAGTTTGGGTGTATACTATAATGGATGTATAGATTAAAGAACACTTTAATGATAGCGGGTTATTTTATGACCAAAGAGAGAAAGATTTGGAAGGTAATGATATGGTATAATCCAATTTAATCATTTATATTTATAAGAATTAAAAAGTACAGGCTCTGGAGCTGAATTGTGTGAGTTTGATCCTAACTCTACCACGTTAGTTGGCAAATTACTTCAATGTCTCAGTTTCCTCAATACAAAGCACTAAAGCAGTGCCTGGAACATAGTAACTGCTGAAACATTAGTTTTAATGATGTTGCTAATGTCACAGTATGGAAGTTAGATAGATTTGAGTTTAAGTCCACTTACTATGTGGATTGTAAAACTTTAGGCAAATTGCCTAATCTCACTAAACGGTAATCTCCATTTCTTTACAGTTAAAAAAAAAAAAAAGTAAGAATAGTTTCTTTGCCACGGAATTATAACAAGGATTAAATGAAATAATGTATATAAAGTGCTGAGCATATATATAAACCCCCTGGCACATAGTGCTTGTTTAGGATTATTTACAACCGTTGCTGTTACGCTGGGCTCTGTGGCCCTGATAGACCAGTCACACATGTCTGCCTTCCATTATGGATTGGTCCCCAGGCTTGCCTCTAATTGCACTGGCTGTAGATTGAGTTCTTTATGATCTTGTAGTCAACATAGTTATAATACCTGCGCAATTATTTTTCAGAGATCTCAATTTATGAAGTTTTTATTCTAACTCAGCTTTTTGGTTTGGCTGTCAAATAGCTGTTCCACAGCCAGTCCCGTCAAGCAAAGGAAGATCTAAAAAAGCCTTAGAATCAGTGTTTCGGATTCCACCTGAACTTGATATGTCTTTGTTACTAGAATTCATTGGGTGAGTATCCTAAACCTTTCTACCTCTTAACCTTAAAATAAAAAATGTTTAAAAGTCCCAACTGTTATGAAATCATCCTGGACTTAAGTAAAATCAAATTTTTCTGATTTCCTTTTAAAAGTTATTTATGAAATATTTAAGACTTAGAAAAAGATCTATTATGCGTTTGTATCTCCACCATCGGACTTAGGAAATAAGCCATTCTTATATGGCAGAAGCCTCTTGGCTACCTGTTCATTTTTCTTCCCTTTAGAGTTTAATAACCACAATCCTAAAAGTGATGCTTGTTTGCCGAAACCGGTTTGGCTCAGTGGATAGAGCGTCGGCCTGCGGACTGAAAGGTCCCAGGTTCGATTCCAGTCAAGGGCATGTACCTTGGTTGGGGGCACATCCCCAGTGGGGGTGTGCAAGAGGCAGCTGGTCGATGATTCTCTCTCATCGATGTTTCTAACTCTCTGTCCCTCTCTCTTCCTCTCTGTAAGAAATCAATAAAATATATATTTAAAAAATAAAAAATAAATAAAAAATAAATAAAAGTGATGCTTGTCATTCCCCTGCAGTTTTAATGTATTTGCCACTGTGTATCTATTTCCAAGCAATATATAGGATTGTTTTTGCCCATTTAAAAACTGGAAATGGCCCAGACGTGCCTCAGTGGTTGAGCATCAACTCAATGCACCAGGACAGTGGTTGGCAAAGTCATTAATCAACAGAGCCAAATATCAACAGTTCAACGATTGAAATTTCTTTTGAGATCCAAATCTTTTAAAGTTAAACTTCTTCTAATGCCACTTCTTCAAAATAGTCTCCCCCAGGCCGTGGTATTTTGTGGCAGAGCCACACTCAAGGGGCCAAAGAACCACATGTGGCTTGCGAGCCACAGTTTGTCGACCATGGCATTAGGACATCGCCTATTTGATTACCAGTCAGGCCATGTGCCTGGGTTTACTGGCTTAATCTCCAGCAGGGGGTATGCAGGAGCAGCTGATCAATGTTGATGTTTCTCTCTCTCCTTTCCTATTCCTCTCTGAGTCTATAATGGGGGAAAAGTTTTACTTTTATTTTTTAAATTTTTATTTATTGATGTGAGAGAGAAAAACATCAGTTTGTTGCTTCACTTATTTATGAATTCATTGGTTGGTTCTTGTATATACCCTGGCCAGGGAGCAAATCCACAGCCTTAGTGTATCAGGATGACACTAATCAACTGAGTTACCTGGCCACAAGTTTTACTTCTCAGTGTATTTGCATATTTACTTTGTAACTTGATCTTTAATAAGTCTAATTAAAATTTAAAAATTGAAAGGAATTTCTATTTCTAAAAGTTATTTGGGGGAAATTTAATCTTTTCTATAATAGGTGCTCACCATCAGTATTGTTATACCATTTTTAAAAGTAGCAAGGATACACTTTTAAAAAGTGTCAGTATATGCAAAAATGGCAAATAGGTTACGTGTATGCCACCATTATCTCTTTGCTCACAGCAGAAATCAGTAATTAAGCATGGCAGGCTTTCCTAATGAGAGAGACTTGACAGCTGTGTTCAAGGCAGTCATTATCACTTGCAATAGTTGTTATGTTAACACATTCTTTGCTATAGAAAAAAGAGCCCTCACTTGGAATAAGGAGATCTAGATTTAAGTTCATCCTACTTCCTCTGTTATCTAGCTTTGTAAACTTAGACAAATTGCTTTTTGTTTATTCATAAGATATGTATTAACCAGTTAACCACCACGATATTTTGAATTTAATTAAAAAAGGTCTGCCACATGAGTCTATAGTGGCTTATGGTGTACAAATGGTTAAGGCCCTGCCATGTACCAGCATAGCTATGTCTAGCTGCTGGGAATATAGTTTGAATAAATCAGCTTGCCATCATGAAACTTTTAATTTCTTAGAACTTCAGTTTCTCAATCTGTAAAACAAGACAATTGAACTTGATGATTATGCTGGATAGTCTGTCTTTTATATAGTTTCTTTATCTGTTTTCAAATGATTATGAGAAAGAAAGCTTTCAGTGCAGCAGGGAGTCCTTTTTTGTTGTTTTTGTTTTTTAATATTTTTATTGATTTCAGAGAGGAAGGGACAGGGAGAGAGAGACGGAAACATCAATGATGAGAGAGAATGATTGATCAGCTGTGTCCTGCACGCCCTACACTGGGGATTGAGCCCCCAACCTGGGCATGTGACCTTGACTGGAATCAAACTGGAACCCTTCAGTTTGCAGGCTGATGCTCTATCCATTGAGCCAAACTGGCTATGGCCAGCAGAGGGTCCTTTTGAAAGAGAACTTCATTGGCAAAGAGGTTGTTTTTTTTTTTACATTCCCTGTCCCCAGAATTAAATCCCCATGTTTTCACTGCATGGAAAAGCTTTTGTGTCTTCACAAAAGTCAAGCTCTTTTGGGGCAGGGGACAAGTAGCAGGTGAGTTTTAACCTGATGTAAGTACAAGGGCTAGTTTGGTTCCACTGGGGACCCTGCCAGAATTGGGAGAGCAAAAAAGCTCATGTAGGTTTAGCCTGTGGATAGTGACTTTCAACCACTGGAACATGAAATTAGATTTTCCCTTAAATTGAGTATTCATACTTCTTCTTCTTCTTCAGTTTTTATGTTTAAAGTAGAGTCTAAAAAGAAATATTCTCAGGCAGTATAGTGTATATAGAAAGAGCATAGGCTTTGAAGAGCCTCTAACTCAAGATATGTAAGCTACATAGGATGTAACTTAACTTCTCTGATCATCAATTTCCATATTTTTATTTTTAAATTGGGGATTATAAGTCACAGGATTATTATAAGAATGAACATATGGGAATCCTAACATGTCTAAACTATTAAACCCTGTAAAGTGTTTTTTTGCAGTTGTATGGTGGTTAAGGACTATGACCAAGAATCTCATTGAGGAGTACTTAAAATGCAAGAAATAAACAATCTTGATTTTTGTCTCAGAAAAAGAAAAAAGAAAAAAGAAATCTATCTTTTAAAGGTTACTATAGAGAAAAAAAGAAAACCATTCAATTATAATAGAATAAAAAGCAAAAGGAAATTTTACTTTATACTGGAAAATGTTAGAATGCTACATACTGGGAAATCTGAATATTAAGAACTAGTGACCTGGTACACAGATTTATGCACATTGAAATGAAATTATTAGGAAGGTGACCAAGATGGGCCAGACATGCTCTGGAGTCAACCTCCCATGGTCCTTTGCCGTCTACCGAGTGATTGGGGTCCCTTTAGCAGGTGGGGTCCCTTGGCTTAGTCTGCGGAGATTGGGCCAAAACAGGCTCTCTGACATCTCCCAAGGGGTCCCGGAGTGCGAGAGGGCACTCTGCAAAGTTGCTCTTATACAGGGTGTGGAACCCAAACACAAATGTGCAGAAAACCAGATTCGGGGCTGACAGTGCCCCAGCAACAACATAACCCACAGCTGAAGGTAGAATCACGGGGCCCCTGAAGGAATCGGGCTCCCTCTCTGGCTTCAGGGTGTGCCACCTGAAAACCACTGCTGCCAAGTCACTGCAGCTTTGTATCGGGTCTAGTAATAATTAATGTCGTTTTTTAAACATTCGTTTAAAATCTTGCTTGGCGTTGACTTGTATTGACTTAACCTTCAAACACGTGGTATCTACAGAACGTGTGAAGTGCAATTAACAAGTTTTGCTTGCAAAAGTTTGTGTTTGGTTTGGTTTTTGTTGCAAAACTAGGGCTAAGAAGATGGCGGATGAAGAGCATATTCGGCACTGCATGCTTTACGAGTTCCAATTAGGAAGAAAAGCAAGTGAGGCTGCAAAAAACATCTGTAGTGCTCTTGGTCAAGATGCAGTTAGCGCCAGAAAATGCCAGCGTTGGTTTGAGAAATTTCGCGAGGGAAATTTTTCGTTAGATGACAAGAGTGGTCGAGGCCGTGTGTCCAATTTTGATCTAGAAGCTCTTCAAGCTCTTTTGGTGCAAAATCCTCAAATTACCCAACAAGAGCTTGCGACAACTTTAAACTGTTCACAAAAAACAATTTCCAATCAATTGCGTGCACTTGGCAAAGTCCAAAAGTTTGGAAAATGGGTTCCTCATGAGTTGACCGACAACAACCGTAATCAAAGAGTCACAATTTGCAGTTTGCTCCTCTCTCGTCAAAACCGTTTGCCGTTTTTAGAGCAAATTGTTACCAGAGATGAAAAATGGGTGCTGTATGTTAATTTGAAAAGGCGGCCTCAATGGTTGGACAAAAATGAGGCTCCGCAGCCCACGCCAAAACCTGACTTGCATGCGAAAAAAGTGATGTTGTGTGTTTGGTGGAATTTTAAAGGAATTCTTCATTATGAACTTTTACCATTTAACCAAACCATTACAAGTGCAGTGTATAGTGCCCAATTGGAAAGGTTAGCCCAAGCTTTAAGAGAAAAAGAACCCGCGCTGATTAATCAGAAGGGCGTAATTCTTTACCACGATAACGCATGACCGTATACTGCAAGAATCACTGCTGAAAAACTGCACCAGATGGAATGGGAAGTTCTCCCTCAACCTGCATATTCTCCTGATATTGCCCCTTCCGATTACCATTTGTTTCGTTCTTTGCAAAACTTTCTTCTTGGAAAAAAATTTAATAATGAAGAATGCCTCAAAAATGCATTGACCGAATTTTTTGCGTTGGGCACAAGTAGTAGAAAACAACGGCAACTATATTGTTGATTAAATTTTGTTGTATTGTTTAAATAAATTCAATTTAAAAAAGTATTAGAAAACGACATTACTTATTACTAGACCTAATAGCTCCTGGTTTGAGCGTCTGTCCTTGGTGGTAAGTGCACGTTATAGTGACCAGTCGGACGATGGGACAGTTGGCATGTTAACCTTTTATATATATGTAGATATACTAAAAAGTTAAGATTTCTAATAAATAACCATGACTTCCCCAAAGCTGTTGTTGCACCATACAAAGCTTCATTACTAGCCAGATCTAGTGCAAGGACATATAATAAGACAGTTTTGATATGTCCATATCTTAAACTTTAATAGTTCTGAAATTGGAAACTCCTGTAAGATACTATTGCATGTTCCAATAGCTTTGCCAAAAAAAGAAACACATAGATAATAGTATGGTTTTTTTCAATAAAGGGCAACAACAAAAAAATAAAAAGAAAGGAAATAAAAAGAATATCATTTTAACTCCTGGAAATATACAAAGTAGTATAACCTAGCCAGTGTGGTTCAGGTTGTGTCGACCTATGAACCAGGCAGTCACAGTTCAATTCCTGGTCAAGGCACTTGCCCAGGTTGTGGGCTTGATCTTCAGTGCGGGGTGTGAAGGAGGCAGCTGACCGATTCTCTCATCAATTTTTCTATCTCCCCTCTCACTGAAATCAGTAAAAATATTTAAAAAACAAAAACATAATATAAAATACCACTGCCCTTTTTTTACCACTAGGTGGCAGAAATGACAATTAACTACACTTGTTTATATCGTAAAGCAGTGTTTCCCAAACTTTTGACATATGTGTACCCGTTCTATAATTTTCATAACGCTGAGTACCCCTCGTACTCATGAGAACGTAGAATTAGGCGCAGCTAAGCACGGTGCAGTGCATATCCCCACCAAACTCTGGTGCAACGTGTACCCCCACCAAACTTCCCGTACCCCTGGGGGTATGCATACCACACTTTGGGAAACATTATGACCTAAAGGGTTAGGTATCCATGTTTAAAAATTAAAGTGATGTTCTTTAAATGTTTATATTTATGTTATTTTTCTGTGTTAGGTGGTTAAACATATAGTTTAAAGTATTTTATTGATTAATTTTGCTTTCATTTTTCAGTGCTAATGAAGGCACAGGACATTTTAAGGTATCTTATTTTTATTTTTCATTTACTTTACAAGGGGACTCTGTAAAAGTTTAAGAATCAGATATGCAATCATATGGCTATTGTCTTCAATTGCAATAAAGAGTGTTTTATAAATAAAAGTTTTTGAAATATGAAGTACATTCAATAATGCTCATAATATGTTTATGAGAAAATAATTAAGTAGGAATTTGTTATTCAGACTGTAGTCTAAGGAAGAATAAGTGAGTAACTTTCAAAAGTCTAAAGATAAATACTATCTTAATTTGGTGATAAAAAATGTTTCAACGCATTTTTTGCATAGTTGGCATTTAGAGTTAAGTATGAGCTTAAAATTTCATTTGCATGTAACACTTTTAGCTCAAGTTACCTGCCCCAACTTGTTACTTGGCAAGCTAATTGTTTTTCTTTTAATTCTGTATGTATAGTGGAATTCTAGTTACAGATTTTGACATTATAACTCAGTATTCTCTACTACCTAAAAAGATGTGTTTATATCTTATCTTTGAATTCAAATAAATATATCTGACTAGAATAATTTCTGGTTATTAAACTTTTCACCATGTAGATTTATAGCATGAAAATTATAAACCCTGTTTGTTCAATTTAAAAGCAGTAATTTAGTTCAGGAAAGTTTTTAAGCTTTTAATTATGCAAACTTTTAAACATACTGAAAAGTAGGCAAAATAAAACCTTCATGTATCCAACACTTAGCTTTACCACTACACTCATGGCCAATTTAATGTCTTATACATCCATCTACTTACCTTCCTTCTGGTATTACTCTGTAACAAAGCCCTATCATTTTGCTACTTCATTTGTAAATGTTTCAGTATTAAAAATATATCTTTTTTTAATGACCATGTATCATACCCAAAAAAGTTACAAAAATTTCAGTATTATGAAACATAAAAATACAGTGTCAGAACTATTCTAGATTAAAGGAGATGACAGAAACATGACAGTAAAGTATAATATATGATCCTTTATTAACAATAACTCTTATCTGCTTCCTACATGCCAGGAATTTTTACATACATCATATTACTTTCCTCATGATAATTCTCTGAAATAGATGCCATTATCCCTATTTACAAATGGGAACATGGATGCACAGAAAGGTTTGAAAACTTACCCAAACATTTATAGATAGAAAATTAACAGAACCAGGGTTTAAACCCAAGCAGTCAGCCTGTCTTTGGAATACCTGCATTTAACATCTATACTATGTACTACACTAAGGTAATAAGAGATAGATCTATTGTCAGGGAAGGTCTCAAGAAACCAAACTATAACCCTGGCTGGTGTGGCTCAGTTGCTTGGGACATCTGCCTGTGCAATGAGAGGTTGCCAGTTTGATTCCCTGTCTGGGCACATACCCAGTTTTGGGCTTGATCCCCAGTAGGGGGTGTGCAGGAGGCAGCTGGTCAATGTTTCTCTCCCTCTCCCTTTCTGAAATCAATAAAGACATTTAAAGAAAAGAAAAGAAAGCTGAGCACTGTCATAGAGAAAAAACATATGCCTCACCTGCCTAGATGCTCTTGGTAGTCATTCTGGGCACCCTCTGCTAGTGCTAGAGAAACACTACTCAAGTTTTTTAGTTCTGATTACCCCAGCATTTCATTTACATTAGATATAATCCTTAAAATGTCTTCAAAGAGAGTGGCTGGATAGTATTAGTTTCTACGTTAAAACTATGTGGTCTTTCCACCTGTTACCTCAGACCATTGGATCAGATTCCAGCCACATATGTCTAGATGTTAATCTTTTTATTTTAACTTACAAAATAAAATGCTTTATTACAGAAAATTTCAAACATACAAAAGTAGACAGACTCTATAATAATAAAGGCGGAATATGCTAATTAGACCAGACATCCTTCCAGACAAAGCCAGAGCTGTGAGGGTCAAGGCGGCTGCCGCAAGTGCGGGTCAACTCCTTTGCACGAATTTCATGCCTTGGGCCTCTAATAGTATAATAAACACCCATGTACACATCACTCAAATCATTATAAATTTATGGCCAATCTCATTTCATCTATGCCTTCATCACTTGTCTTATTCTCATATATTTTGAAGCAAATCCCAGACTATATCTTAGTATATAATTCAGTTTGTTTCTAAAAGATAAAGACTTTTGCTGGGACCAGTTTGGCTCAGTGGATAGAACGTCGTCCTGGGGACTGAAGGGTCCTGGGTTCGATTCCGGTCAAGGGCATGTACCTTGGTTGCGGGTGCATCCCCAGTGGGGGGTGTGCAAGAGGCAGCTGATCGATGATTCTCTTTCATCGATGTTTCTAACTATCCTTCTCTCTTCCTCTCTGTGAAAAATCAATAAAATATATTTTTTAAAAAAAAGATAAAGACTTTTTACAAACATAATAATGATACTAATATTTTTTAAATTAATAGTAATAGCCCTAGCTGGTTTGGCTCAGTGGAGAGAGCGTCAGCCTGCGGACTGAAGAGTCCCAGGTTTGATTCTGGTCAAGGGCACATGCCTGGATTGCGGGCTTGATCTCAGTAGGGGACGTGCAGGAGGCAGCCAATCAGTGATTTCCTCTCATCATTGATGTTTCTATCTCTCCCTCTCCCTTTCTGAAATTAATAAAGAAATATATTTTTTAAAATAATAGTAATAACTTCATCAAGTATCCACATTCTATTTAAATTTCCTACATTGTCTCATTAAAATTGTTTCATAGATTAGTTTCAATTAGGATCCAAATAAGATTCATACTAGTAATTGGTTGATAGATCTCTTATTTATAACCCCTACATCTTTTTTTAGTCTGGCAGTTTCACCCCCATCTTTTTTTTTTCCCCTTAGAATCTTTTTATTGAAGACACCAGGTTTTAGACATTTAATGTCCGTTTGTCAATAAATTGCACTCCATGTTTTATTGTTGATGAGGTAGTAAAATAAACCAGTAAGCCTTTGTATTAAAAAATTGTTAATATACCTTTCAGAGAGGGAAAACTTAGCAGAAAAATTTTTTTCTTTGATAGCTAAACTAACTAAAATTTTGTAGTAATTTTTGTAAATCTGTTGAATCATCTTTGCTATAAAATCTGCTTTAGGGTTTATACACTTTATCTATACTTAATCTGAAAATATTCGTTTATTCATTCATTTCTTTTTTGTAGCCATTGGAGAAGAAGTTTGTCCGAGTTTCAGGAGAAGCAACTATTGGGCACGTAGAAAAATTCCTCAGACGAAAAATGGATCTTGATCCAGCTTGTCAGGTAGAGTACATCTATGTAAAAGGACTGGTAAAGATGTGAGGTTACCTTACAAAGAATTGTCTCTAGATTTTCATGCAGTGGCTTTTGGCTTATGATATTATAGATATTGTATATGCCAATTGATATTGGTACACAGTGATTCCCATGCCAACTTCAATCATATTTGACTTACTGTCTGTTCCTCCATGCCATTGATGACCATATATGAGACCCCTCAAAATATCTGTTTAATATAGCCGGGACCGGTTTGGCTCAATGGATAGAGCGTCGGCTTGGGACTGAAGGGTCCCGGGTTCGATTCCGGTCAAGGGCATGTACCTTGGTTGCGGGCATATCCCCAGTAGGGGGTGTGCAAGAGGCAGCTGATCGATGACTTTCTCTCATCGATGTTTCTATCTCTCTCCTTTCCTCTCTGTACAAAATCAATAAAATATATTTAAAATATATATATATATCTGTTTAATATAGACCCTATTCATTTTTTTAAGGATTGAAAGTATTTCCTATTATAACTATATAATACTTTCTTGTTGTAAAATGAAAACCTCAATCCTAATTTGTTTTTAAACATAAAGTGTAATTATACTCGTGGATTTAATGTGGGCCAGTGAAAATGCACATTTATATAATTTTGCTTTTTTATTAGTCAAATTTAAAAGGGATTTTTATTCTTTATCATGTGTAAAATTTCATAGAATAATATTTATTTAAAATATCTTTGCTCTTCAGTAAATTAATAGATATTTTAAAGCTGGCTGAAATTTTGCTGGTGTTTTTACATCCAATATCTATTCTACTAAATATATATTAAATATATTAAATTCAATGAAATATGACTTCTCTTACTGAGCTTGACATAATGCTGGCTGTATCTCATCCATCTGAAGTTTATCACATTGTAGCCACAACATATTTGAGGTTATTCTTAGTCTTTTGGTTAGAAATAGATAGCTATTTAGAGACTTCTGGACAAAGAATTGTGAGCAATCCCATAACAGTTTATTGTTGCTAAAAGCATAAATCATAAGACTTGAACCTGATTTTATAGTTTTAACTAACATAGCATGCAAAAGCACTTTTTCTAGGATATAGATTATATCCTCTGGCTAGATATTGATCAGAGCATAATCACCATTGATAAGTTTCACATTTGGTGTTTTAAGAAATTTAATTGCCAGAGCTCTAAATTGGTTATATTGTATAAAAGTGTGAGTTTATTTTTTTCTTCATGTCATAGAATTCAAGGCTTTTAGCATTTTGAAATAAAATGATAAAAAAAAAATTTGTTTAACCTTCAATTTTCTTTATCAACTCTTGGCTCTATAGGTAAATAATTTCTTTTCTATTCAGGAACTATATAGCTGGTAACATTCATAAATTACTATTAAACCAAAATGTTAAAATAATGGAACAGAATTGTCAAATATGCAGACCTGTTAATTTATGTCTAAAATTATTAAGCCTTCTAAATACAAGAGAAGTAAAAGTTACTTCTACTTTGAGCAAAACATGGAACTAGTTAACCATTAAAGGAAAATTCTTGGTGAAGCCAGTCACTTGAGCTTGCTGTGCTGACCTTCTTTAAACCAGTTCGCTCCAGAGGAAATGTGTGCTTGTTGGCAGACATGTGACCTTCATATATGGTTATTTCCTAGCAGGAATGAATGGTTACTAGAGGATTGTTAAATTATGGACTATCTTTAAAGTTATTTGTGGCCGATCAAAATAAAAAGAGAAGACAGTGTTAAAAGACAGATTGTGTACACATTGTAATTATGTTAATCAAACCATAAAATTTTGCCCCCTCCAAAAAAGGTATTATGAACTAAGAGGCGCAGGACATGGTAACTGATTGCATGTGAGAAGAAAGGAAAATTGGGAATCAGAGGTGATATTCTGGTTTAGAGGACAAGGAGGAATTTCATGCCATAAACTAAATAAGGATGTTAGGAGATGGAACAAATTAAGGTATATATATATATATATATATATATATATATATATATATAGTAATAAAACTGTTGAAGAACTGATTCCATTTAAGGCAACAGGAAAGGAGCACTCAATGAAAGAGAGAGGTTAAAATTTTGCTTTTCTAAGCAATTCAGTATACTGGAATTTTATTATACTATATTACTGTATAACTATTCTTTCTAGAGCATTCTGTATAAAAGGGCTTAAAAAGACCTCATTAAGATAATTCCATTCATAAAAAAGTTCCCTTCATGTTTACTTTACTGTTAGACTTAGGAAATAATTTTGATTACTGGCTGTCCTGTGCTATTACCTGCTCTGTCCTCTGATGCTCTTCATCATTTACTCTTGTAAAAAGTTTCTAACATCTTTCTTGAGAGTGTTTGATCCATCTAAAATAAAACAGCAAAGTGTAGTCTAAAAATAATTGTTAATGTTTCCTAATTTTTTCATATGGTTTTTTTGAAGCAGTAAAGCATCTAGTACTTTGTTTGCCTGTAGGTAGATATCATTTGTGGCGATCACTTGTTGGAGCGATATCAAACTCTAAGGGAAATTCGACGTGCAATAGGTGATGCAGCAATGCAGGTAAGTCTTAGATTTTATCATACTTAATGTCTTAACAGGCAAGTGATTTGATGGGGGGAAAAAAAAGCTCCTTGTTATCAGTAAAATTTTAATAAATATTCTACAACTTTCTTAAAATTACCTGCACTATAAGTAATAAAGCTAACATTTATTGAATGCTAACTGTATGTTGGGCAATTTTTTAAAATGTTTTACATGGATTTTATTCCTCATAAATTCTATGGTGTAGGTATTCTTTTCTCCCTATTTTATTTTTTATTAAAATATAGTTAATATGTAATATAAATTATTTTCAGGTATACAACATAGTTATTCAGTTATCCTCCATTTTAAATAGAAGGAAGCCAAGTTACAGAAAGGACATGTAGTAACTTGCTCACAGTAAGCTAGTGAGTGAGCTATGGCTCAAAATGCAGGCAGTTTGATTCTAGAGGCCTCTGCTCTTTTTTCTCTGTCTTCATACTACAATAGAACTCTGAAGACCACTGGGCAAATACATCTGCAAGGACATTTTCGTAAGAAAAATTTGCAGATATTCATTTGGCGTTAGAGATTCACATACCATTTCTTGCTCAATAGGTAAGAAGTCATGGCAACTATTTTGAAGTTTTAATTAACCTGTAATGTGAGGAAATATAATGTAAAATCTCCTAGTCAGGATAAATGAGAAGCTAGATAGGATCTAAATATTAATGAAGAGAAAAGCAAGATTCACATATTCTAAGGTATTACTAAACCTAGAGTGATGAATTATTTTAAGAGCTGTATGGCTCTGAGAAGCTTATAGAGTACTAATGGAAATTTGATGAGCACCTCTGAGCTTAAATGAATTTTTGTTTAACTCGTTAGAAATATAATCCTTGCCCTAGCTGATTTGGCTCAGTGTATAGAGTGTCGGCGGTCCCGGGTTCAATTCAGTCAAAGACACACGCCTGGGTTGTGGGCTCAATTTCCAGTAGGGGGCATTGCCAATCAGTGATTCTCTCTCATCGATGTTTCTATCTCTCCCTCTCCCTTCATCTCTGAAATCAATTTAAAGAGAAAAAAAAAAAAGGAGTATAATTCTTTGTTTTGGTGTAATTGCTTATGCTCAGTGAACAACTACTTAAAATAAGAGGAAGAGTATACTAAAAATTGTCTTGTTGGTGTGGATTATACAGTTCCTTGGAAGAAACAGAATGAATGCACACAAATACTCTTACATGCATACACAATACAAGGGTGGTCAAAGTAGGTTTACTGTTTGTATGTCACAATATCACACTTAGGTTCAATCTCATAAGTGCTCAAATTGCTGGCCTTCATTATTTTTACATTCTTTTAATCTACTTCCTATACTTAAACACACTTTGACACCAAGTGCTTTATAAACCTACTTTTGCCTACCCCTATATATATATATATATTTTAATATATTTTATTGATTTTTACAAAGAGGAAGGGAAGGGAGAGAGATAGAGAGCTAGAAACGTCAATGAGAGAAACATCGACCAGCCGCCTCTTGCACACCCCCTACCTGGGATGTGCCCGCAACCAACGTACATGCCCCTGACTGGAATCGAACCCGGGACCTTTCAGTCCGCAGACCGACGCTTTACCACTGAGCCAAACCGGTCTCAGCCCCTATATATATTTTAATGACAATGAAATGCGTGAGTTTTGACAAGGACATATTCCTGTTTTAACTCAAACCACTTCTTGAGATTTGGAACACTGCTGTCACCCCCAGAGGCAACTCATTAATTTAAAGCATAGTATATTTACAGAATTTTAAAACTACCATATAATCAATTTTAGAACATTTTTATTACCCAAAAATAAAACTTCATATTTATTAGTATCCATCCTCCAGCCTTTATCAACCACTACTCTACTTTTTGTCTCCGGATTTATCCAGGACATTTTATATAAATGGAATCATACAGTATTTTGTCCCTTCTCATTGCTGAATAATATTCCATTATATGGAAATTCACTATTCAAGAGAAGGCTAATACTTGGAAGGGCAGCAATGGAAGAATTAAGAAAGATCATTGAAGCAGAGATGTGTCATTATAGAGACCAAGGCTAAGGTCATCCACACGTTCGTATCCTCAATTACCATATGCAGATGTGAAAGTTGGACAGTGAGGAAGGCTGGTAGGAAAAAAATTGATTCATTGGAGGGAAGTTCTACAGATAACCTGGATTATCAGAAAGACCAAGTGGCCCTAGTGCAAATTAAACCTGAAACATCACTGGAAGCAAAAACGACAAAACTGAAGCTGTCCTACTTGTGGAGGGAGGTGGCTGGCGGTGGTGGGGCCAGTGAGTGGGTGGCTCCAGGCTGGCCAAGGCAGATGTTAGCAGGACCCCCAACCATCCTGCTGGTCACCCCACAGATTGGCCCTGATCTTTGGCCAGGCCCAGGAATCCTACCTATGCATGAATTTCGTGCACTCGGCCTCTAGTAAATAATATTTACATATTAATATAAATTTATATGGAATTTAAGTATAATGAACCTATAGATATAAATTTGAATTATAAGTAATTATCTGACCAAATGTGATTTTATAATGTATTGAAGTTTTGTGGTTTTGAAATCGCTTTTTAAGTTGTATTTTCAGTTTTTTTTGTTTTTTTTTTTAAATATATATTTTTTTTTTATTGATTTTATACAGAGAGGAAGGGAGAGAGATAGAGAGCTAGAAACATCGATGAGAGAGAGTCATCGATCAGCTGCCTCTTGCACACCCCCTACTGGGGATGTGCCCGCAACCAGGGTACATGCCCTTGACCGGAATCGAACCCGGGACCTTTCAGTCCCCAAGCCGACGCTCTATCCATTGAGCCAAACCGGTCCCGGCTATTTTCAGTTTTATATCTCTACATATCAATCAATATATAGTTTTGCAAATTTTGTTTTTCTTTATGAAATGTAATTATGCAAAAAAATCTTTATCTAAAATGTAATTGCATTCATGTAAAAATGTTAATAGAATCTTTCTATTTGTGTTATAATACAAATTCATTTACTTTGATTAGGCTAATTTGGTCTAGAGCAGATCTGATGCTCCATGGGCCAAACATGGTATGGAATTATGCTTTATTTGGCTTATTCTGTGTTCTAAATTACCCGAGTTTAAATTCCTTTAACTAGGCATGTGTTTTCTGGTTTATTGCTGGTCTCAACATTCCTTATTGACTTACATATCTAACTCATATCTTAATTTGTTACTTTTCTTGCCCTTGTGGGCATTTGAATTTGTGAATCTTTTTCTAGAATTCTGGTGAGTTTTCATTAGAATTGCCAGGAACAGAAACCAGATTGCAATGAGTTGAGCAGTGAATGAGAAATAAGGAAGCAGAGCCATGGAAAAGCTTAATAAAGAAGAAAAAGTAATAGCTAGAACGGGATTGGAAATGCAAGGCATGCAGGCTGTCACTCTTCTTTGTTGCTCAAAGTAGGCCAATTGCTTGTGGCACACTTTCCCAATGAGTCTTTTTCTTTTTTTTAAAGCTGGTTTCATAATAGATTAGAAAATAGTACCTTTAAAAGATAGATTTCTTGCTGGATGCAGCTTTGGTGAGAACACAAAGAATTAGGACCTGATAATAAGACAGGAGATAGACCAAAAAAAGCAGATAAAAAAGACTCAGAAGCACAGTATCTGGAGTCATTTAGTAGAGAGTTAAGTTTTCTAACACCCCCTGAATGAGGACATCGCTGTGTTACAACACAGTATAGTTACTGTTCATAATGAAGACTCTAGATATCAAAAGTTAAATTGTACTGAACAATCTTTAAGGAAGAAGTAAAACAATGATATACTTAATGGATAAGAGTTCCAAAGTTTTCCCACTTATAATATTAGAGAGCTGCTGTTTATGTGGAAATGAATATTTAGCAGATCCATCATGCTTGATAATAATTGAATCTCTTTTTAGGGAAGCCCAATGCCTGGATGGTCTGTTAAGTAGTCTGTATAGAAGGAAAGGTGTATTTCTTTCTGTTCTTTTTGGAGGACTGGTTAGCCACAAACAACCCAGGCTAACTATGGATTCCTGGTAGTTTCAGAATTGTCTCCTGAAAGTTTTTATAATAAAAGGCACATTAACAGGGAATGTAGGTGATGAGGTGAGTGAATAAGCAAATTTATTTATCTTGGATCCTTTATTCTCTTTAAAGAATTTCACATTAGTGTTGGGTTATGAAAAACAAACAATCTTTGATTTGATTACGTATATAACTATTTCAAATAACTGCAAAAACACTTTTATTTCTTTTCAGGATGGTCTTCTTGTCCTTCATTACGGTCTTGTGGTTTCTCCTCTGAAAATTTCTTGAAGATTCTAAAAGTATCAGGAGGGAGGAGAGAAACAAAACACGGTGGCTTCTGCAGGCTTGCATCTCACCAAAGATTTTTATAAAACGTAATTGCTGCCATTTTGTGCTAAGACATAACAACTGTTTTGAGCACCAAGCATCATAATATTTATAAATACAACTTGGAATGCTAGAATGCATCTGTTTTACTAGCAACTATATAGAAAAGGCATCCATAGCTCAGGGGGAAATTTTCAAAGAACTGAATTTTTAAATTTCTTATGATTTCAAATACTTTGATGATGAATTTGGTTCCTAATTTTTTATGTAAATCAATTACTACTTTCTTCATTGAGCTACATCCTTTTTAAGTTGGTGGTTTGGATTTTGCTCTCTGGGATGGTATCAGTAGGGCAGAAAGGAAGGAAGTATGCTTTTAAAATGAAAATTCAAACCCAGTCTTTGTTAAACTATACAGACTGTACCCCTTAAACAAAGACCAAAACTGTCTGCCACTTTTGTAGGTTGCCATCATATTGTGAACTTTTTTTTTTTCTTCTTTTTGTTTTTTTTTTTTTACCAGCAACACTACTGAAGAGATGTTATTCACTTCTAAATGGGATAAATTACCTGTTTGAGGAGACTGTCTCCTATTTGGTTTATGGCCCATACCATAAGCCTTCAGTATAATGAAAACTTCTTTAACATACCGTAGAACAAAGCGTGCCTCTTTTGCAACAGATTTTTTATTTTTAGAAAGTTAATTTGATTAAGATTCATTTTATTTGAAAGTACATAGTCTGATAAACAATACCTTGTAATGAATGGCACTGCTTATGAAAGTAATAAAGATTTTGAGAAGTTTACAGAATACTTATTCATTTTTCCTCAGCAAGTCAGTTTCATGTTCATTTTTCCATTACTTTGTCACTGGGACAAAGAATACGGGTGTTTGAGACCTCACTCACTTGTATACAGATTTTAGTTTTAAACATTATTTTGCCTAAGATTAGCATTTTGATAGCTTCCTAAAATAAATATTTTGTAGACTCTGTTTCACTACAAAATTTCCAATTCTTCATAGAAACAATTACAATTGGGTAAAGATTGGCAATTGTTTTTATACAAAATTTGTTAATTGTGTATGTTTCTTCTAACATTTAATAAAAATTTTAAAATAAAAATTTATTTTAACCTATTTTGAAATCTATGTGCTTATTGTGGATTAGAAAAACAACAACTATCAAAACTGTTTAAGAGATGAGGTATTGAATGAAAGTTAAGCTTTGCTGTCAAGTAGATCTTTTATAAATTTTGTAACCTTAACTAATTATATTAGATGTTATTTTATTTATTTTTTTTTAAAATATATATTTTATTGATTTTTCACAGAGAGGAAGAGAGAGGGATAGTTAGAAACATCGATGAAAGAGAATCATCGATCAGCTGCCTCTTGCACACCCCCTACTGGGGATGTGCCCGCAACCAAGGTACATGCCCCCAACCGGAATCTAACCCGGGGCCTTTGAATCCGCAGGCCGACGCTCTATCCACTGAGCCAAACCGGTCCTGGCTAGATGTTGTTATTTTATAATGGGCAAAATAGCAACTATGAAATTAATTGTCCCTTAAATATATTTTGCACAAATAATTTAACATTTTTACTCTTGTCCCATGTTAACATATGTGTGTCAGGGATTCCCCAGAACCAGTGGTTGGCAAACTCATTAGTCAACAGAGCCAAATATTAACAGTATAACAATTGAAATTTTTTGAGAGCCAAAATTTTTAAACTTCTTTTAACGCCATTTCTTCAAAATAGACGCCCAAACCGTAGTGTTTTGTGGAAGAGCCACACCCAAGGGGCCAAAGAGCCATATGTGGCTCGTGAGCCACGGTTTGCCGATCACTGCCCAAGACCTGCTCAGGTTCAGTGGTTCACGAGAAGGATTCATGGAGCCCAGAAAAGCTATTATTTTCATATTTATAGTATATTAGAGTGAAAGGATACAGATTAAATCAGCAAATGGGAAAGTCACATAGGCAGAGTCTAGGAGACCAGGCCCAAACTTCCAGTTATCCTTTCCCTGTGAAGACGCAGGTACAGACGAATTCTCCCAGCAGTGGTATGTGGCATGTACAAAGTGTTGCCAACCGAGGAAATTAATCTGAGCCTTAGTGTCCAGGGTTTTTTTTTGTTGTTGTTTAATATATTTTTATTGATTTCAGAGAGGGAAAGAGAAGAACCTCAATGATGAGAATCATTGATTGACTGCCTCCTGCACACCCCACACTGGGGATCAAGCCTGCAATCCGGACATGTGACCTGATTGGGAATCGAGCCATTACCTCCTGGTTTACAGGTCAACGCTCAACCACTGAGCCGACTATGTCTAGGGTTTTTACTGGGAGTCAATCACATGGGCATGCAGTACCCATGTGATTGATTCAACCATTGAGACCCAACACTTGCCCAGTGGTCAAACTGATACAGCATGTTCTGGGACCCCAGATAGAAGAAAACGGGCATTTATCATAAAGCATATTATTAGCATAAACTTTTTGTGTGGCCCAAGGTCTTAGGCATACAAAGACAGGATATTCCAAGGGCTCAGAATTTATAAATTACATTATCATGGCAAAACACTTATTTTTAAGTAAAATATTAAATGTAATTCTTTGATAATTTCTGCAATGAACAAATCAAAAGAATTTATCTCTTGTTAGACATTTTGTGGACAAGATTAAAATTAAAGCAGCGTTCCTTCAAGGAACTCACAGCCTTGGTTATACACGTCTCTCAGAACCTTTTTCTTTTTAAATAATAAATTTTTATTGATTTCAGAGAGCTTTGAGGGGAGATAGAGGAACATCAATGATGAAAATCATTGATTGGCTGCCTCCTGCACACCCCACACTGGGGAAAAAGCCTGCAACTTGGGCATGTGTCCTGACCAGGAATCAAACTATTACCTCCTGAGTCATAGATCAACGCTCATCCACTCAGCCATGCCAGCCAGGCACATCTGGCAGAATCTTACTAGTAATAAAAGGCAAATACTGCTAAATAAGAGTCACAAAAAATTCTACCCTTTTTCTCTCCCTCCATTTGGACTTGACCTCTAAGAATCTCAACTAAGTTGTAGCTGGTTGTTTCTGGCCTGTTGTTACTACCAGGCAGTGAACTAAGTAAGAATGTGCTGATTGATTAGTTTACAGATCTGTACCCCCAAATCAGTATGATCTTGGGCAATATCAGCAGAAATATAATTTCAGATCAAGGAACTTAATAATTCTAATCCTTAATGCCTCATATGTCCAGTACTGGGGAGCATACTTCAAAGTACTGAGATAGGAGAGCAGTTGGGATAGAGAACCGTCAGGGAGAGACCTTAAACAACCCCCTGCCAAAAAAAAACACAAAAAAAACCCACAAAGCAAAGGTTGAGCAATTGCTTTTGGTTAACTTGGAGAAATGCAAACTTAGGGTTGAGGATGCAATACTTGGTAACTGTCTTTAAATAACCAGAGGATCAAAGACTGAGATGAAGGAAAAGCACAGCAAGAACAAACAAATGCCCTGTCTGGTCTTGGATTAGCCATGCTCCTGCAGCAGCAGCATACGTTTAGTTTTGTTGCGATACCATCAAGTTTTTTTCAAAAGGAATTTTTACTAGGAACATAGGTAGAAACAAAACTAAATTCTGAAATCTGCACAACTAAGAGTATATGAAGGACAGATTCCAGAGCCTAACTTCAATGGCTAAAGAAGGATTTGACTGGCATAGTGTGCAGGTCTCAGATTCTGTGTAAGATGCCCAGAGGACAGTTTGTGGCAGTTGTAGTTTGGCAAAATGCATGCATGGCAGGTTTTTTTCGGTTCCTCCCTTAAATGCCATCCCAACCTTTTCTCTCTAGTATAGACCCAAGTCATTCCCTCTGATCTTGGCTTCACTGAGCTTCCCCTTTGTTTCCACTGTATTGCTCTTCCCTCTTGATTGAGTCAGATACATTCTTACCTAGTCTCTGACTATCCCTCCTCTGGATTCCAAACTCACAGGCCTTGCACACACAGTGACTCTCCTACAGTAACTTTGTCTGAATTCTTAGAAGTAACACCTCTGACCCATTTATTTGTCCCATGCAGCTTGTCCGGAACATATACTCTGTGATTCAATCCTAGGTGAATATTTTTGTAGGATCACCAGGTCATAAGCGCTTATTGGATGTGTGACTAATGTTTGATGTGTTTTGTTTTCATTTTCCTTTAAAGTTCAAATAGTTGCAGCTTTCATGGTATATTTTCTCTTCTTGGAAAGCCCTGGTAACAGAGACATTTCAAGCAGATAATGATTCTGAATATTCATTTTTGTTTCTTTCAGTAGACCATGACCAAAGAATAGGTTCTCTTTTTGTTAATTCTCACCTGAGAATATTTTTTCCATTGATTTTTTTTTTTTTTGCAGGGGGGGAGAATGGAAGGGAGAGGGAAAGAGAGAGAAACATCAATGTGAGAGAGACATCGATTGGTTGCCTCCCACATGGCCTTGCAACCAGGGCCGGGGATGGAGCCTGCCACCAAGGTATGTGCCTTTGACTGGAATCAAACCCTGAACCCTTTAGTCCTCAGGCCAATGCTCTCTCCACTGAACCAAACTGCCTAGGGTGAGTAGGTTCTCATATTGTGTACATGGATTTTATTATTGGCATCTCTTCAAAACTGTACTGATTTTATTACTTCTAGAGATAAATAGTCTACTCACAAATGAAATGCCATATTGATCTTCTGAAAGCTTGCCAAGTACCTACTTTCAAACAATGGATATGATGGTTTGATCTTGGCTGCATCTTTATTTTGTTCTGATGATGTCTGTGGTTTGTTTGTTTAAATTACTTTATTTCAAAAAGGAAGGGAGAGGGAGAAAAAGACAGAAGCATCAGTGATGAGAGAGAATCATTGACCGGCTGCCTCCTGCCTACCCCCTACTAGGGATTGAGCCTGCAACCTAGGCATGTGTCCT